TTTACCCCTAGACATTTGGGGTCGTAACAGTCTCCATAACCAGTAAAGTGCTTTGAGTGGAGTGTCCAGAAAAGCGCTATGTAAGTGCAATGAATTATTTATTTTTAATTACTTCAACCATGCTGCAGAGGACTTCCTGTAAGAATTTTCATTTTTCTGGGTTCTTGCTAAAATACTGAATAAAACTAAATTTGTGACAGGGAATGTAAAATGTACATTGTCTCTTTGATTGGTGATGCTGATATTGATCGATCTAAATCGTTGTTTTTCACACAACTGAAAATGGCATTTCTTGCCTATCTGTACTGTAACAGACTGATTTTAACAAAGTCTGTTATGCCAATCCAGCAGTGTCTTTTTAATTCATTTTTGATGAGGCCTTAGATACAGTATGTCTGATTTGTTAAGAAGTAGAGACACACTTATAGACGCGCAGACATAGGAGGGGGCCTGCTTTAATGCATGTTTGATGTACACTGACACCAGGCTACTCTTGGTTCAGGGGTGTGGACTACATTGTGGAGTTTATAAGAGAAGCTCAGGAGGAAGGTACGATCCTAATCTCACACACGTCCCCTTCTCTATGTACAGTAGATAAGTCTTGCACCCTGACTTTTCTTCGCTTATCTCTCTCACATCACCCCCCCCCCCCCATCTCCCATATCCACTCTTGCAGCAAATCCTTAGCTGAATCCTTGCTGTAGTGAGGGGGGATTAGGGCATCCTCATGGCCAGGCTGCCCTTCTCTCATCGTGACACATCACTCCACCGAATCAGAACAGTATTTCATCCATCTATCACATTCATTTGGATCTAATTGAACTACTGAAAGTTTGTTGTGCAAACTTTATCAGAACACATTCCTGAATGAGGGTTAAAAGGGCATCCCACGCTAAGCAAATAGGATTGCCAGACAAGTAGCTTATCTTCATCTGCTGCTCTAAATAATTTGAAAGGTAATGCATGTGATCAGCTAATCCGCTATGTGATTGGTTGTTCCTCTCCTATCACTTAGGCACAATGTGACTCCAAGGGGGCAGCTGTCCAGCTGTGTCGACACAGTGCTGCGCAGTTCAGAGCGCTTCACTTGGAGTCTTTGAGTGAAAGCTTTGAATAATTATTTTCAGAGATTCACTCTTACCAAATAACAGTACTAATGCTGGGAACACTTAGGTTATAAAAGTATTTGCAAGACTTTTACTGAATTGTGCTGACCCATCGCCCATTGAGTTAAAAATGTGTACTGAGAAGTACGTGCTGTGCATTTTTAATTCCTAGGCATTGCTACTGTTGTACCCATGATGGACTTGCATCCTGTCCAGGTGTGTTCCTGTGTTGCACCAGGTGCTCTCAGGACAAGCTCCAGATTGCCATGACCTCACATGGAATAACTGGCTTTCTGATCACGGGTACAAGGATGTGCTGATATGTTCCAATTATTTATTATTAACTTATTTACCCTTATTAACCTTATTTACCTTAATTCATAAACTAAAACGTTGGAATGTATTTTCAGCTTCTTTCCATGCACAGGTGCCATTCAAGAATGCTGTGTTAAAGTCCCAAAAGACTGAGTCACCATCAGCCTGAGATCTGCCTGGCAGGTTAGCTGTGCGGATGGAAAGTTTGGCTTCACAGAGAAATTAATTAAATGCATCCTGAGGCGCTGTTGTGAAAGGTGTGAAAGAAATTCTGAAACACATGTAGTATGCTAAAAATCCCTTCTTATATGCTAATTGATTACAAATCCTGTCAGATTTTGTAAGATCTTTTCCCTAAAGGTACTGTGGCCATTAATTTTTTAAATTTTATTTTGAGATAAATCAAAAAGGGTAAGCCTATTCTTTCCTATATTTTTCTTAACCTGATGTAATGAAGTCTAATGCTTGCATCTTTGGAGGGATGCCATAACTCCTTCTACTGCTGCTTATGATAAAAGTACTATTTAACGGTAAGGATGGTTGTAGTATTTGAGTGAAGATTTTGAAAGATTATTTACTGAGATTCACTTACAAATAACCAATATACTGTATATGCAGTACAACTGTTGCCTATGCTGTTTATGTACTCTATACTAAGAGTTAATGTGGATTTGCATGTAACCTTGTTGTTGCAGACTCCATGATCTCTGCTTCACATGAATTTGAACTTGAATGATGTCCTTGGTTTATTGGGTAGTACACTATGTGTTTTTCTCTGTAAACGCATAGTTCATGAATCACATACTATTTTTAGCACTGAGTGAGAAATGCAGATGACTTTCCTTGATGTGGTGCGCCTGTGGTTTAATCCAGACAGCAGAACATTTACAGCACACCTGCATTTCTGAATGTGTGACTTGTTGTGTCTGGATTGTTAATGAACAACCGCGAGCGTAAACTCCTGGGGTCAGGTTATGTTATTCCTTTCAAAAGACAGTATTTGTAGAGCTGATTGTCATTCTGGACTGAAATATCTTGACATGCCCACTTAGCCAAACTTCTCACTGAACTGTAAAAAAAGTGAAAGCTTTTTCAAATTTAATAAAAATAATTTCCATGTTATTGTTTTATTAATTATACAAAGTCCACTTTCTTAATACAATATCCGTACAGATTTTCTGATATACAGTGTAAAACAATATAATAAACAATATTAATCTTTTATTTGATGCCGACCTATTATTAAGTGATTTTATTTCACTCATTAAATTAAAAAAGCAGTTAAACAGTAACAAATAAGATATAAGTGCAGCATATAGGATTTAGTCGACAATTGGTTAATGGTGTAATATTAATCAATTAAATAAAATATGTATTTTTATATGATCTGATCTGATAATAAAGGCTTGAGTTTGGTGAAGTTTGACAGATCAAAATTGTATATTGACACTGGACTAGAAATCCAAGTCTCAACCATCTGTGATAATTCATGTATTTTGACTGAAAAGCAGTTAATGAATCAAAAGCAAAGTGTACAGATAACAGATGACTCAAAAATAGAAGTACAGTATAAGCAAACATTGCAGAAGGTATAAAAGGAAATTCAAAATGATTTAGAACATTTCAGTTTAGGACCGACACCTGGTACATTATACTTCATGTAGACAGATGAGTATAATCTTTGGCTACAAAAAACAGGCTGAAGAAGCAGGTGTCCATGTTGATACATCCCTGATATAGGAATGCAATAGACAGGCAAACATTATGTAAGGATGTAAAATTAAAAGCAGAACGTATTGGGCAAACTTACTTTCAAAATGTATTCTGATATAGTAACAAGTTATTTATGTAAGTAATTACATTTAAAATCCACAACAATTTGGGAGAAAATCCATCAGTTAGAGTGAACAGTCTGGTTGTATATATGTTTCCCAATTTCCCCCTTCTTACTAATTTAAAATAAAAAAAGTATCTTGTAATGGATAACTATGCACAACAAGCTGTAGAATCTAAATAAAGGAATGATATCTCAAAATTTTACAACACACTAGTAAGACCTCATTTAGAATATTATGAAGAATTTTATTTACAGCATCACAAAAGGTTATTGCTGGTCTGAAATACCATGTTGTTGCTGTAGCATCTTTCAAGGAGTAGTGGAAAAGATGCTCAGATCGATCACCTACTAGCAACCCAACGAGTTAGACGGAATGGCCTCATCTGGTGTGTCACCTATACCTCCATGAATGTGGGATTTGCCATTTCTTCTGTCTCATGGTCTCTCGCTTTTCCAGTGAAGAACTGGACTCTGCAGCAGTTTTCACAGAGGTAACAAAGATGCTGGAAGCCTTCCCAGCATGCTCCACTTGCTGCACAAGAACAAGCTGCAAATGACTTGAGTTAAGGTTAATGTTTATTTTTTAGTTTCTGTTAAAAATGTACATTGCATGATCCAATGTCAATTCAGGGAATTCCGTTCTTTGGTGTTTTTTACGGGGAGATTTCAGGAACCTCGCCTGACCTCAAGCACAGAATGTCTTCCAATGGTTACTGGAACATCACCCCCTGATTAAACTTTCACTTCCTTTTATCACACATTATGGATACCAACAACTGACTGACAACATCCAGAATTTTTATTAATACTTTTAATGTAGACATCTGTACATGTAAGAGAGGGTGACAATTGAACTTCTCAGGGTTAAAATCAAGTTGCTCAGATCACTCTGAATTTTTTTACATTTAAAATTCAAAAAGTGTTGCTACAGTAATATAGAAAAATCAGAAATAATGTCTGAGAATCTGAAGTGTGAAAAATCTCTGACAAGTGTTGCCCATCAGTGGCGAATCAGGAAAATAAAACTGAACTTTAATAAATTTCCCATGCGATTATTTCAAATTAAAATTGAAATTATATAAAAAACATCTGAGTTGAATTTTCAAGTAGATCTGCATACAGAACAGCAAGTAAAAAAACAGCTCCAATGTGTCTGATGAAAACAGTATTTAATTAATTGTAGTACAAAGAGGGGCAAATAAAAGGCGCCTTATATCAGCATAGCAAATCTAAATCCTAGTTTTAAATTTTGTATTATTATTGAAAAAGTGTTTTTTTTAGTCTTGGCAAACTATCAAAAATCATCAACCCGTAAAAAAGATTCCTTAAAACGCAGTAACAACTTAAATGTATACTAGTCCAGTATTCTAAAACTATTTATCTTGTGTCTTTTATGTGAAGGTGCTAATTGCTTTCTCTGTACAAATAAACAGGTAATTCTAAAATTCTCATAAAATAATTATTAAAACACGTACATACCTCCCTGTGTGGTTCCATTCTCTTCACATAAAGAGTAAGAAAAAATAGTTCTGACTTTAGAAAAACAAGTTACCAGTGATGTGCATTTACTTGTCACTCTGAAGAAAGTTTCTTGGCTTCTGATTGTCTGTATTGTCTTTGAAACGGGCCCCCTGCTTCCCAGAAATGAATTGTTATAATTAGTCTGAAGCAGAAGTGTCTATAAATTCCTCCAGAATAAAGACGTGTCATTGGATTAGCATCTCAGCATCTGTTAGCGCTTCTGTAATCAGCCATAGTCACCTCCTGAAGGGCACTTCACCGCCTTCTTAGAACGAGAGCTACTAGTTTCTTTCTGTATTTCACTAGAATGAGGAGTGTAAAGAAGACATACATTTCACTCTTTCTCACCTTGGTGCATGTTTGTCTAGGTAAGTTACTTTTTTTAAAAAACAATCTTTAATTTTTCTTGTGGGAGTACATGTTTTAGATGCCTTGTTGACCTCCTGTTCAATTAGACTATTGTTTGCGGGCTAACTCGGGAACAAGTGCACATTGAAAGAAACGGGTTTCTGGTTTTTGCAGTTACATTTCAGATCCAGATTGAACATTTTCTCTTTCTTTTATTTTTTTGCTTCTGCCTGGCTGCTACTCTCTAATCAGCAAGTGAGTCAATTTCCCTGTTCTGAGACGATGTTTCTAGAATGAAGCAATGTAAAAAGTGACCTTTGTGTCCATAAGTTGTGAAGTGCTGTTAAATTAGATTTATTTGAGGTGTGTTTTTCCTGGCTGGCTATGTGCGAGATGCATTGCTGTGATCCTAAGAATCCTGTTTAACTGGGAATGATAAGAGAGATTGGACATGTTTATTGTTTTATATTTGGTAAACAATTGCAGTGGAGTTTCTTTGTCAGTCAGTAATGTAAAGCTGTGCCATTTGTTATGTTCTTTCCATATTGATGTTCCTGGTTTTTTGTACATTCCTACAGTACAAGCGGACTATGCTCCTTATTTTTTTGACAATGGACCCAGCAGTGACACGGGCAACATGGCTTTATTCAGCCTTTCTGAGGACACGCCCGTTGGTAAGCCTTTACATTCCAAGTTCATGACGAACAGAGATCATGAAATAAAGAAGAATGATGGAATATAGAGAATACAACAATTACCCTTTTTAAAATGCGTTCAGAATTTTTTGAAAATAACATTTTTAGCTATTGACATCCGTTAGCTAGAAGTGAATATGCCAGAAATGATTTAATATAAAGAACAATGAATCTGCAGTGACAAGCACTGAGTATTATGAGCTTTAAATTCACTAATGCTGCCTAGAGTGACATGCTAACAAAGCTTAAGTAGCAAAGCACTTAGATAACCATTAACAAGCAGTTATTTTATTAGTAATTTTCCATTATGAAATGCATTATGAAATTTTTACATGAATATTTGTATAGTGCTAATTAGATGTTTTGCACAACAGCAAATGTATGCACCCAAAATTCAACAAGGGAAAAACATTAACCACACAGAACAATCACTCATGGCCAACGTTGGTTTACAAAGACAAACATGAACATAGCTTAACACCATGAACTATGTACACAGATTCCCATGATCTATAGTTTTGAAACAATTAACTATTTGACACTATGGCAACTGACACTACTTGAAATTGGTCCTGCTACCTATTTATAGTTCAGGGAAAGGGGTTAAACTAGAGCTCATTTCAAATCTCGCCGTGTTGATTTTATTCATAAGCTTTTTATTTAGGAAAGTTCAAGGTGAGAAGCTTCATTTGCATGTTGTTCAATGATTTAATTTTTTCATACAGTAGATGTCAAATTCTGTCCAATTCATCCAACAGGGACCCAAATATATATTCTCAATGGGACAGATCCAGAACAGGACCTGGTAACATTTGGTTTGGCTTTTGAAGCAGGATCAAAAGAGTACTTTAAAGTGGATCCGAAATCTGGAAATGTAACTCTGATTGAAGAACTTGACAGAGAAGTAAGGAAACCGATTTTCAGTTTTCTTTTCATCCTCCTGATTTAAGAGTTAAGAAACAGGTTGAAATTTATTTGTATTCTGTCCATCCTACATATTCTGCAGTTATCTGACCTGCACATTTCACAATACTGAAATATTGTGAGAATGAATTGAAGAGTGCACAGGATTTATAAAAACAGCAGCAATTATTGCTGCTCTGTTATGGAAGCAGAAATCTTATGTGCAATATTACCTACCAACTCTGCTCTATGACTTCGGTGTTTCAGTCTTGAATTTCAGCATATGAAAAGAGCAGCTCCCACTGAATTAATATGTGTCATTTCAAGTGAAGGTTTTGCAGGAGGCAAGGCAGTCAAGAGGTTAAATATACCATGTGATGCTAATTGCGACTTAGAAAGAATGAAAGCATCCTGCGACCTAGACAGATAGCAGAAACAATTGTTCTTGGGTGTCAAAACATTAGTCAGAGGACCAAGGTCAGAGAAGCTCATCAATTTCTGGATACATGTCCTATCTTTTTTTCTGCCCTAAGGAACTGAGATTTTGCATAAAGCAATGTCAACAAGTCTATAAGCTGAGAAAATGTGTACTCTGTAGCTGTCATGCTCTGGTAGCTCCAGCACATTGTGGAACTGTCAGGTTTGGAGGCAGCTTGTTGGGTAGTAATCTTTCTAAGATAGTAATCTAAAGTGAAGGCCTTGGGTGAAAAACAGTTTGAAAGCAACTGCGGCAGTAAAAATTGCTGAAGAGTTTCCATTTTGCTGTGTCCTAGGATGCCACAGCATCATACTTACATAATCTTTTCTCTCGTTTCATTAGAAAGAAGATGAAATTGAAGTTCTTGTTAGTATTTCTGATGGCCTTAATAAAGTGAGTATTTGTGTTTGTGTGACTTTAAATGGAGATGACTGACTGTCAAACATACAGTATGGCCTGAAAGTTGCATTTATATCATGGAATGTGTCAGCTAAAAGTTTCGCCCCCGTCGCCCCCATTTCTGTACTTACAGAAAACCTTATCCTGTTTCATTTTAGGTGGTTGAAAAGGTGCGGGTGTTGGTAACCGATGCCAATGATGAAAGCCCAGAGTTTGGAAACATGTCTTTTATTGTAAATGTCCCAGAGGTAAGTTTGAGAAGTTTTTAATTGATCAACACATATTTCTCAATGAGACTAGCTAAAATGTTGTGCTATAAAAAAGGCTCTTCATATTAAAAAACTCTACGATAAAGATTTCACACAAGGCTGGTTGTATAAATTTTGAACAGGAGAGGTAGTTAAGCATAATATTACTAACACATCCTACATGGAACACACCATTTTCTGTTGGTTTAAAACAACAATTTGTTATATTTATTTTTTTAAACTTTAAACTTAAAAAAGACATAACAACAGAAGAAAGGATACAAACAAGAGTAAGCCATTTGACCTATCTAGGCGGTTTCATAGTATTTATTTGATCCAAGCATCTGCAGACATTTCTAGAAGGAAACCAGGGTATCAGCTTGAATAACATGGCTGGGTAACTTGCTCCACACTCCCACAACATTTTGGGTAAAGACGTGTCTCCTGTTTTCAGTTTTAAAAGCATTTTTATGTTGTTTCCACTTCTGCCCCCGATAAGAACATAAGATAACACTTGAATTTGTTGTGTTTGTCTTGTGAAAACCGAGGTTCACTAATGTTTATCTCAAGGTTCTTGTTCAACTCCCAGGTCTCTGTTTGAATTTCGTATTGTTTTTCATCCAGGACACACCCTCAGGTGGCAGTATTTTTAAAGTACAGGCTGTGGATAAAGACACTGGTTCAGGTGGCAGTGTCACCTATTACCTTCAGGTACGGTGTGTCCCGCTGGTGCCCCATAGTTACCCATGTACTTCAAGGTCAGCTCATCTTCACCTGGTGAATGAAAATATATGTGGATATTAGACTGTTTGTTTTAAGACATAAACAAGTAACAGCATAAAAGTGCAATTAGATGTTTACATGTATTACCAAGTAACAGTGCATTAGAGACACTTTTCATTTTCAGTGCTGTATTTTGCAAGGAACACTTTTCAATTACATTATATCTGGGTAATTGGAGGTTTAAGTGAATAGTTTAGATTTGATGAGTCCTCCTGCCATGTGTTAGCCAACACTTTGACTGTTTCAGCTCTTACACACATTGAGCATCTGGGCATGAGAGGCACTGTCAATCCTAGATATCTGGACACAGGAGGTTGTTTTTTACTGTAGTTGTAAAGCATCTGGACACGCCAGATTGCTGCTTGGTGCAGAATACACATTATATCTTTCCTTTTTAGAGTCAATCTGCACCCTTCATTTGCTTATTGGTTTCTGAAATGGAAGCATTTAGATTCTGACAATAATCACCAAAGCAACATATTTGTCAGTAATTCGGCCAAACCATAAAGAATGACGTGAGACAAAAAAGGTTTAGGGATGGCGTCGATACATTTTCTCTGGTGTGGCTGAGGAAATTGGCAGCCAGAGTGTGAGCATGAAGCTGACAGGACCCCCCTTGCTTTGTGAAGAATGAGCCAGGAAGCTGCTGCAAGGGTGGAAATGGGGAGGGGAATGGGGCTTGTGAGACAAAATGCCCTAGGGGATGCTCAAGACGTGAGATGTTTATACATAGATTATACTCTATTTTCCTCCTATTTAAAAGCTCTATTTGTACGCCGAATGTTCGAGTTCAAATATCTGCCGTGAGTTTTCTGTTCATTTGAATTGAACTCATTCTTTTTCATTTTCAGAACTCCCGGATGACCAAGTTTGCCATAGACAGGCACAGCGGGGTCCTTCGCATTAAACCTGGAGAAGCTCTTGATTACGAGAAGTCAAGGACACATTTCATCACGGTTGTAGCAAAGGTGAGACACGGAGGGTGCCAGGTGTTTTCTAGGGATAATAAGCACACTATCTTCGCATGGAAACCCTGTGGCACCTATGAAATTTCAAGCTAACTCCTTCATTTAACAGACCAGTTCTATATTTTGTCATGCAGAAAGCTGTAATGTTTTCATTTGTCCCACTGGATAAATTAAGGTGTATGGAAGGAAGAGTGTATAATGTGCAAGGATTGTCCAGAGTTAACTGGGACAGGTCATTTTGACTTCATGTAATGCATTACGCTGTCCCTTTTAGACTATGTGCATTGTTTCAATGCTTGCTTCAGTCAGCAGGCTCCTCTCTTGCAGTCAATCAGCTTTAATACACCCCTGGGAGCTACAGCAGATTTAAAGCAGTATACTGTGCACAAGCAAACATCAAAGAATCCTAAATAAGACAGTTATCAAATGCCACCATGATACCATGTTTAATCCATTTTGAGTTCCTGTTAGGATTGCTGTTCCAGAAAGGAATGAAAGGGGTCAATGTTGTCACACCCAATGTTCTTTTGCCTAAGGATGGTGGCGGAAAATACAAGGGAAAATACCAGGTGCTGTCATCTTCAGCCACAGTGACCATCAATGTGATAGATGTTCAGGACACCCCTCCTTCCTTTGTTGGCACGCCCTATTATGCATATGTTTATGAAGACACCGTACTGGTAAGTAGTCACAGAAGTGCGATGAGTGTGGCCCTGTCCTATTTAGGATAGTATCATATCTGGTCACTCGCACTTTTGGCTGCAGAGCCACACAGCACCACACTCCAGACATCTGAGAGTTCCCCTACGCCAAAAGCAAAAGACCAGGCCTCCTGTTGTTGGATAGTTCAAGCCTTTCCATGTTCTGTGAGGGGAGAGAGGGGAGTGACATCACCTTCCGTCACAGGTTCAGTCTCAAGTGAACCTTTTGTATTGTTGTATGTGCATTGGCACACTTAAATCAGATTTCATGGTGGCTGCTATTTTTAAATATGGTCATTAGGAATACTGTACAGGATCAGTTAAAGAAATTATTTTTACTCTTGAACCAAAAGGGAATGCCAATAAAAATACATTAGAATATGATTAAAAGAGCACCTTTAACTATAATCTATGCAGGTTTATTTGCTTGACTAGTTGTCAGGCAGATTTGTTTTATAATTTGCAGTAATTAGGCAGCAAAACTATTATTTATTTTATATTGTATTACATTATTTTAAACTATTAATAATTAATTTGAATTAGGGAATTTACACCAACGTTTTAAATTAATTTGAATCAAACCCCCTTCTTTTTAAAATGTTAATATAAACACCTGTGCTTTATATTTGTGCCTTTTAGGGATCTGAAATATTTACTGTTGTTGCCCATGATGGAGACAGAGGGAACCCTAATGCTATCCATTATTCCATCATAAATGGTAAGAGCCAACATTACTGAAAAACTGCAAGCAAAGAAAATTAAGATATAAAAATCGACCCTGTCCTTCACTGTGAGTGAAGCAGTGAGTTGATATAATTGCACTATCAACAGTTTCATTCAAATTTACATTATAATCAGCATTTCGACAGTATTTAACTATATTTGGGAAAGCATGTATAAATCATTCTGTGGTAAAGTCTCTGTTATTTGTTTCCATTTATCAATATCATTTTAACATTGGCAAACAAGTCAGTAGCTGTTTGGCAGATGCAGGAACATCTGTTCATGCTCTGTTGTTCTGACTTCATCTTTCAGAGTAAATGACAAATAGTTTAGGACACTGTGGTGTTAGTTTTAGTACTTTTGGTAGTACTGTTCATTGCTGGAAAATGTAATCTAAAAATTCTAAAGTTTTTGTTGACCTCTATATCTTGTTATGAAGATACACTGTATCTAAACATGCCATGTCTGCATTGTTTTTGGTGTAAGCAGAGTAATTAGCAGAATACGTAAGAACTTAAGAAAGGTTACAAACAAGAAGAGGTAATTTGCTACAAGAAGTCTGTTTGGTAGTTAGTAGTCAACCAATCCAAGGATTAATTCCCATCCGCCCGTTTCTTGATCAGTATCAGCTTCTACAATATGTCTGGGCATTTTCTTTCATCCTCTCACAGGCCTGTATCTGGTTGTTCTCCTCTGGGCCAATTCCAGGGCAGCAATGTCCTTTCTAAAGCATGTAGACTAAAACAGTGCACAACATTCTAAATGAGTGCATTACACAATAGTATCATGACACTCTTTTATTTAAATTCTACACCCTTTTAATTGCTTCCCCACATTGGCTACAAAGATGTAAATGATGTATCAACAACAATGCTGATGTCTTTACCATAAATTGACTCTTCTTGCTCAATGATTCTCATTTTGTATTTATAGTTGTGTTTTTTCTCCTGCACTAAAATCTGTAATGCCTGCCTGCCTGTAATCTGAGAATTCATCTTTTATGGGGAACTTTATAAAAAGCCTACAAAAATATATAAAAATCCAAATAACATACGTATATTCTATGCGTGTCCATTACTGTTGCTGTTTTGTTCAAACATGTTAGCTAGGAAAGGCTTAAGCTTTTACAACTCAATGTTGACTGTTTCCTAGGATGTTATTTCCAGACAGGTGATTTTCTAGTTGAATTCTAATAAATGTCTAAGTGGTCTATAATTACTTGGCTCAGTTTTCAAACTCTTTTTAGAGATGGGCACTACATTAACAACATCAACTACATTCTCCAATCCATGAGTACTATCCCTCTCTCAAGCAATGGTATCCTTGCAGTATTTGATGGTATCCATTCCCTGGAAATTATAGACCAGTTCACTGTCTCTCTTTAACAGGAAGTGATGGTTTTTTTGCCATAAACAATACAAGTGGATCAATCAGTCTTCTTGACTATCCTGTCCATCTTAAAAAGGAGGTGTATGAACTTAGAATCCAGGTAGGTAGTATTAATGTTGTGTTTTGTAGTTTAATTAGACAATTCAGATGCCTGCCAAAAGGTAAATATGACTTGATGATGATGATTGTATTTTATAAATGAGGGTTCATGTGTTTCTTTAGTGAACCTGTCCCTAAGAGTACTTAGAGGAATAAAAAGGCCTATTATGTACTGGCCTCTGGATGCACTGGAAGTTCTTGGAGATATAAAGTCTCAAGGTTTCCAAGTCCCTTTAAAAGTATTCTAGAATAATAATACAGTATATTGCTCTTTCTGGACACTCCATTCTGAGTGCTTTACACATAATGGGGACTCCCCTCCACCACCACCAATGTGCAGCCACACCTGGATGATGCAATGGCAAACATAGCGCTCCAGTACACTCACCACACATCAGCTATCAGTGGGGAACAAGACAGAGTGATGAAGCCAATTCATAGATGGGGATTATTAGGAGCTCATGATTGGCAAAGGCTAGGGAGATGTTCGGCCAGGACACCGGGGTCAACACCCCTACTTTTCTAAATATTTACTTAAATCTGCATTCATTTTGTGATCAATAGGCCTCAGAAGTAAGTGAAGAGGGCAATGTGGTGGCCCACGTGACTTCGACTGTGACAATCCGAGTTGTGGACCTCAACAACCATCCTCCTACATTCTATGGCGAAAATGGACCTCAGAGTACATTCGAACTGACAATGTACGAACACCCTCCAGAGGGCGAGATTCTGCGAGGATTGAAGATAACAGTCAATGACTCCGATCAGGTAGGCATATGCCTTATATTTACAGCATAGCAAACTGCACTCCACATGATGTATCATAAGAATATTGTGCTGAGGTTTACTAGGCTATCAGGTCCTATTTTGCTAATAGCCCGCCTGCCCCTCAAACCCAGGAGTTTTTTGTTTAAAGATGCCATTAAAGTAGATTCCATGGTTTGGTAACTTGCTTTGCAAGCCCATAGTTTTTGGTTGAAGCTTTCATTTGATTTCCACATTTATGTTATAGTCAAAACTTCTATGTTGAGATTGAGCCACTGTTTTGTGATGCTTTTTTGCTGTTTCAATAATGGTTTTGCTGTAGATATCAGACACTGAAATTTACAAACTAGGAAAAAACAATTAAAGGTAAATGCATAAGAAATTTCTTATTTGCAAAATGTTTATAAAATATTGTAACGCTACGGGGTTCATGTGGGCACCCTCACCACCACCGCATCAGGTCGGCCCCAAACCGTCGGGGACTCAAACCCAGGCCTCAGGCATCACTCCACAGGGACCCAGCCTCTTGAGCCAAAGGGAGATCTCCCATCAGCCCTGCGGCTGCGGTCCCTGCTATTCACAGGGAAGTTTGGTACAATATTTTTTCATTTATTCAGCTACAGTACTTATCTCTTCCCTGCTTTATGTGTTGCTGTTTTTTGTGTATTATGTGTATATTGTCTGTATTGTTATTTCCTATAAGCAAACAATTTTCACAAAAAGCAACACAAATGTTATTGATTTATAATACCCAATTTTTCAAAAGAAATACGTTGATTTTTACAAGACAATGAATTTTTTCTAAGAATTTCAGAGTAAAGCGAATGATTTAATTTTGTGCATTCTAAATGTATATCAGTCTGCCTCGGAAAACAACATTTGCAATATAACTTTTGGCAGTCTTTTGAAATTATCTTGATTTGAGGCACATTCAGTGATACAAATCATGGCATTATGCAATTTTTCAACGATTTCCAACATGGACTATTTACGATAACATAAACCCCACAGAGTAGTTTCTAATAACAATTATATAGTCATTCATCTAAAAAGATTGCTGAAGATTCTGTCTCATAGTAATGCAGACTGGACTAGTGTTACAGATTTCATATTTGCCTTATGTCTGAGCTTGCGCATTCCTAGATTAACATATTTATTATTGTGAATATCAATTTCGCCTCTATAAAATAAGATGCTGCCTGGGCATCCTGTTCTGTCTGTGCCTGCCTTTTCATTACACACGAAGAACTGAGGATTAAATAGACTTTAAAATATCAACATAATCCATGGTATCTTAATGTCAAGGGTATGTCAAGGGTATAGGACATTCACATATAAATAATGGCCCACATTCTGGGGGCTTCTTGAAATCTCAATTTTTGCTCATATTGCATCTGCATCTTACTCTGCTTTCATTCTGTTAATCTTTAATAGTTTGGGTTAAATTGGCTGCGTCAAGATTTTCTCCGATTTGTTGCCGCTGGTGTGTTGTCTTGGCTCCTAAATGTAATTTTATGTGCTCATTGTTGTTTGAATGTCTTTGCTCTCAGACGTCTCTGACAGCGTGAGCGCAAGCTGGATTTTCTTTAAAGTAGATAGGACTGGCAGGGGCAAAGGCATGCAGACACAAAATGTTCATTCTTACTAAGTGAGAGCCTTCTATATGTAAAATATCCAAATTTAAAATAGAAATAAAATAATTACCGATGGCTAAAAATGTTTTGTGACTTGTTTCACTCAATTCCATTATGTGAATTTATAAAGGACAACAGGACTACTTCAGAAGAGGGTTGTAGGAGTATAGAACAAGCATCCAGCCATGTTGCTGATACCCTTTCTCCTTTCCTGGATGAGATCCTCAGGTGCAAAGCTAGTACAGTAGCTAGTAGCTAGTACTAGTAACTAGTAGCAGAGCCCTTTGTGGACATAAATTCATTTTATTACTTAAAGTGACTTGCACTTCCAATGGTGTCCCTTTTTTGTTGAATTAAAATTAAAATGAATATGCACATTTTGAACACAATACATGCTCACCATGTATGAGCATGCACATGAGTGCTCAAACTGAACACTCTTATGGGAGAAAGAGGCATGTCACCAAAAACTGCAAAAATGCCAAACTAAAACATCTTCATTGTATAAGTATAAGTATCAACCTCCATGGTCAGTCCCTGGTGGAAGCATCTATGACTGCTGGAAATCTTTCTGGATCCATCTCTACCTACTTTACACGCCAGGACAGTGCAATGTTAAGCCATTCTTCTGTGTAAATATGCTCAAGCTTTATCAAGTTGGCTGAGGATTATTGATGGACAACAATTGAGCTCTTTTGCCACCAGTTGTCTACCGGATTCAAGTCAGGAGCTTGAGGGGGCCACCCAAGGACAATCATTTTCTTATTCTTAATGCTCCCTGTTGTAGCTTTGGGTCATTGCGCTGCTGAAAGGTAAATTATCATCCCAATTTTAGGCAGGCTAAAGCAGGTTTTCCTCTAATTTGCCGGAATTTAGTTCCCCCCATTTTCCCTTCAGTCTTGAGAATCTTTCTGGTCCCCGTTGAATTGCAACAGTCCCATAACATAGATAGTACTGCCACCACCATGCTTGACAGTAGGAATAATGTTGACAGGGCAATGTGTTTGATTTTCACAACATGTAACACTTCGTATTTATACCATAAAGTTCCAATTTTGTCTTGTCTGACCACAAAACCTTTTGCCATATCACGTGTGCACTATCACTGAAATTATTAGTTGCAAACTTCATCTGGCAGGTGAGATGGGTTTTCTATTCAGTTTTAAACAAGTCAACTTTGTGGAGTGACCTGGATATTATTAACTTGTGCACATTTTCCCCGATGTCAGCCACTGAATACTGTAGCTCTCTCAAAGTTGCTGTTAGCCTTATACTGGCATCCCTTGTAAGTTTCCTCCATGCCTGACCTGATCTTGGCAGTGTCAGGTTAGTGCGGTACACCTCTCACTTCTTAATGACTGACTTCATTGGGCTCGAAGGGACCATTCAGCCTTTGAAATTTTTCATGCCCTTCTTTTGATTTGCACCTGTCCTTAGTATTCATGGTTGAATTTTTCTTGAAATTCACTACCAGACTGAGACACATTACAGAGACAGGTTTATTTATTCTGAAATCACGTGAACCACTATGATTGCACAAAGATAGAGGCCACTCAGCTAATTGCGTATACCTGAACATTTGGGTTTGTGAATAGTATAGAGGGTGCATATATAAGAAATCAACACATATGAGGGCTGATGTTTCTTTGTGATTTTTGTTCACATTTGACTTCTTTCACCCATACAGTAAGTGTTCAGTTTGAGCATCCAAGGTTTGAAATAATGCTTTAAAAAAGTATGATCTCATTTCCTGTCAAATGTCTTTTCCTAGGGAGCCAATGCAAAGTTCAACCTGAGGCTGGTGGGCCCGGGTCGCGTGCTCAGAGTGGTCCCTCAGACGGTGCTGAATGAAGCACAGGTGACCATCATTGTGGAAAACTCTGCTGCAATAGACTATGAAAAGTACCAGTCCTTAACATTCAAGGTGTGAAATTAATCACATTTTCCTTGTACTTTTACTTATAATTAAATAACCCAGATGGCCAGATGCCAAGGAGGAAATGAAGAATTAAGTAAAATCAGTCATTTAATTATTGGAGGTATTTTTAAAAGTAATTTGTACCAGTATTTTCCTGCTGTGTTTTGACTGTATTGTTGGTGTATGTTCTTACAGGAGTACTGTATATTGTGTATCATTTTCAGATAATGTATGACATTTCCAGTGTCACAGGTAAAAAAATCATCAGTCAAACAAAATTGGCCATCTGAGTTCAATTTATTTTCAACCCAAAGTTTATAGTACTGTATGTTCTTTAATCTTGACATTGTTTTGCGTTTATTTACAAATTAAAAATGCCATAATCTGCTCTCCTAGCTCCTTGCTGTTGAAATCGACACACCTGAGAAATTCAGCTCAACTGCTGACATTGTGATTCATCTCCTGGATACTAATGATAATATTCCCAAATTCTCTTCGGACTACTACATCGCCAGAATCCCAGAAAACTCCCCTGGAGGCTCCAACGTGGTCTCTGTAACGGTGAGTATCACTAGGCTGTTTAACCAACACTTCTAAAACGATGGGAAAAAATGCCTTCAATTAAAAGGATGAGAGTTAGAAGAAAGATAATTTGAAGGAGACAAGTTGTAACAGACTACAGTGTTAGAAACAACTTTGGCTATGTACAAGAGAATTAACATTAAACAGCATTAATCAAAAACTATGAGCAGTTTGCAGGAAGGTTTAAATGAGGTAAGCTTCCAGATGGTTATCGCTTTGTTCTGTTCTGTAATGAAAAAATACCTGATCTCCAAGTGCCTAGCACTAAGCAGAGGAGTTCTTAATGCTATTACTGTGCATGCTATTATGTGTCTATTTCTGTAAAGCACATTTAATATAAAACTGGCCAGTTGCAAATGGGTATTATAATTTTAATTTGTTCGTACAGTAAGTACGCATTAAGCCATGCTTTTAAGATTTCTGGAATGTCAAAGGAGAAATATAACTCTTTTAATCCTTCCCTCATCCAAACGTCACCTTCACTCTTGTATCAAAGGTCAAGGGTTTCTTAGAAGCCACCTGTGATGAGTAGCATCGACACTGTACAAAACTAAATATAAACACTTCTGTGTAGACAGTACACTCCAAACTAATATTTGCTGTTAGAACGACTGACTAGTGATCAAACAAATAAAATGTAGGCGTACACCAGTACTTGTAATTATATTGTTTCTGACCTTTGTACCTATTTCCAAAACATCACAATGGAAAAAAACAAACTGGACCAGCCTGTTAAGACCTAAATAACCCCCATGTTGTCTGAAAGTGGGTTGCTATCCACAAATAATTATTTTACATTAAATGAACAACATCAGGATGGCCTAGGTTTTCTGTGAATATGATATAAGTTATTGCTTGTTGATTTCTTACAAATAGAAGCTGACCTTTTCACATTTTCTATTTTCTCTTACCTGAAGTAACTCATTCAAATTGATCTTAATGACTATTTTGACTATTTTAATAGGTAAAAGTCAAATGAGTTTGGAGCAGCCGGGATATCAAATAAATTATGTTGGTTTAATAAATGTTCATTGTGACAAAAGTAAAATCAATGAAAAGCATGTACGGAGTGTGACAAACCAAACTACATGGGATGTTTGACAAAGTAATGTCAGGGCATATTTAAGTTTGACTTTTAAAATATTGTATAGTTCTCAGGATATTGATTTTCTGAGTTAAGATAACTATCTTAAACCTAACAATGTTTCCTATCTTTCACAGGCAACAGATCCAGATTCTGGTCTTTGGGGTGAGGTCAAGTACTCTATCTATGGAACGGGCTCAGATTTGTAAGTAGAAATGTTATTATACCTTAAGGCCAACGGTTTATGAGTCTTACAAAGAAAAGGCTTAACAGTCACACCTCTTGCATATCACACAGCTTGAGCCATGTGTGTGTTGAGCTGGTGTTTAGAGTACAGTATGTCAGTATTACGATTAAAGAAATAATGCCAGAAAGACCCGTTACATCATAGTACAGTATAAATTCTTGTACTGTAGCAGTAAATTGCCAGAGAAACAGACATTATATAAACCGCCATCATTTTTTCATTGTGTATCACTTCTGATCAACACAAGGATGCCACTGTGTATTGCAAGTGTTTGTCAAACGTGGCTCACATGTGGCTTTCATTCTTACAGTAGCACACCACTAAAGTCAACTGACTGTGACAGGTTGTGAAATGTTTGATCAATTTCAGTAGAACAACTCTGGAATCAGTAGCAAGGCTGTGGTCATCTACAAACAGCATAGTTCAATCCAAAAAGAGCAGACTCCATGCTTCAGGGCAAGTGTAAAGATTTGAAGACTTAATTTATTTTACATTTGGAATCAGTCTGGTGAATTTATGAGCCTTTTGTGATTTTGTTTTTAGGATTTCACCATGCGGAGTGCTTTTAATTTTACACTTGTATTATTTGGATTTTTTTAGCTCTGAAAGAAAATGCATGTTTATTGAAGTCAACCTTAAGTCATTTTATTTGGCAGGTTGTAAAATCAAATTTTAAAGTAAAATAAAAATAAAAATGTGCTTTCATTAAGTAAAAAGTGGCGAATCTGAAATTAGGGATTGGAGAGATGAGGCTGGAGTTGACAACATCACCACCGACACTGCGAGTGTAAAAATACTAAAGTTTGCTATAAAGCATGGAGTTCTGATCTGTGGTGAAAAATAAAATACCAAACCTACATGGCAGACATTGATCTTGATGAAATATTTAATTCTGAAGAATAAAGAATTCTGAAGAAGGTTAGTCCACATTGCAACACTTTTGCACTAGGGACAACAACATCCAAGAATGTCATGCTTTGTGCTTAGTTAATGGGCAGCCTTCTGGCCATAGGATGAGGAGGCTCAATCCTCATTCAGAGAGGAGTGAACCGAATGAATGCTAAGGGAGGTGTTTATGTTTGATATATATGGAGCCAATTTCTGTAATGATGGTGATTAGGAACAGCTGTGTGTGACTGGCTTGTTGTTGTTAATTCTCCTAAAATTCATTTAATAACTTGCACTTATTAACTTGCACTTACAATAAATAACCTGTGACTCTGCAAGTGCTGCCTATATGCTGAAAAGACCAACAATCTTGTATTCAGAGGAAACGATCACTTCTACCATAGATGCAATGTAGAGTATAATGCATTTAGGTATACCTTGTTACAGTATTTATTCATAATACATTCTAAATCATGGGAACCAAATCAGCGTGTGTTTCTAATTTCCTAGCATTGCTTAGCATTGACTGTACATGAAGAAGCAGAAGTGACTAGACTAGAAAAATCTGGTTCTTTTGCTTCACAAAGAGTTTATTTAAAGTCTGCAGAAAGGCTTTGACTAATCTTGTAATGGGATTGGGAGGTAAAAAAAATAAACATCCTAGGGTTGTCTCATGTAACAGGCCCAATTAACTCGCAGTGTGACAGCTGGTGCTAAGAAGATTCTGGAGTTGTGCAGCCGAGGAGTGGAGCAGGGATATGTAAATTTATGCACATCTCCCACCTCAGAGGGGGAACTAATTATAAATGTGTGAAAATTCACATCTACAAGAAGATGTTGGGTTTTACAAGGTGCAAATTGGTAGGAGTTAGAAATGGCTGAACGAGACACAAATCATTTTGAGCAAATTCTTTTTTTTTCTTCAAATTTGATATTTTTAACCCGGGTAAAGTGTCCATTTCAGAATGTGTTGAGCAAACTTGATCCTGATCTATTGTCTCACAATTAGGAAACCACACACAATTTGCTTCTTTTTAAATGGCATATGAAGTCCCCTTTCTTTAAATCTAAACCTAATTTGTACTTCATTAAACATTCAAAGCCAATGTTCTACACATTGTTTTCCCATGTGTGCACAGATTAATTCCAGTAAAAGACATTTTGATCTTTTCTTTGAAGGCCGGTCTGTAATTTTAGGTAATTCACCATGTAGTGTGTAGCGCAAATGAAAAGCGCACTGCGTCTTGATGTTTTCAGCACTGGAGAATAGATCTGACGAAGACCTGACAGCCATGATCTGTGGTTTGCTTTAACTCCCATTCCACTTTGTAAGGTTCCTCATTCATCCCACGACGGGAATCATCTACACTCAGCCATGGGCTACTCTCGACGCAGAGGAGAAATCAAAGTACAACTTCTATGTGAAGGCGGAGGACACTGAGGGCAAGTACAGCCTGGCTGAGGTCTTCGTTACCATCCTGGATATGAATGACCACCCCCCCGAATTCAACGAAAACTTTCTTGAAAAGACTATGGTCATCGGTGCACCCGTGAAAATAGAGGTTTGTTCACTCAATTAACCATCTGCCATACCTCATTATCTTGTTACATAATTTAAACACCAAGTAACGATGCCATTTTCTAAAAACATATAGAGATAGAATGAAAAAGTTCTAGAGAGATATTATAGAGATAACGGTTTTGTTATATATTTTTATCATTTTTCTGTTTATCCATTTGGATCATTTCTAAAACCTCAGGCTTCTGCCCCTTTTTGTTTTCCTGTAGTTCCTCTGGCAGACCAGTCACAGACAGTTTTTATTTTTTAATTAAGTTTTTATGAAGAGTTATTCTCAGTTTCGTTTGATCCTCAATTCAAAACGCATGGTCCTGCTGAACAAAGAAAAAATGACCAAAAAATGTCACAGTCTTCTTTTTGGTTTTGCAGGCAATAGACGATGATGCGGAGGAGCCCAATAATGTGATTGAGTATTCCATCACGCAAGGAGATCCAGATAATATTTTTGACATAAACACAGAGACTGGGGAGATCAAGCTTAAGTCTTACATTAAGTCAATGGACATAGTGCAGAACATCACGAAGCAGAGGGACTGCAAATGGTCAGTGGTGGTCCAGGCTAAAGACAGAGGCTCCCCTTCTTTCAGCACCACTGCAGTGGTGAAAATCGACATCACTGAAGCGGTAAGACTCCAGTGTGTCTCTTGGCCCCATCAACACTCGCTGACTGAGAGGAGAGGAGGAGATGTGCTCATTTGTTTTTTGCTAACTGAGTCTGGTTATTATGGGCTATTTCCCTTTAACTAGTGATCAGAACATGAAGCAGAATTACCCACTGCCAGATCCTCTCTTGTTCTTCCTAATGCATTGCTAGTTGCCCTAAATAATTTCTGAAATCACTCATGACTTCCAAATACTAATACCTTTTTCATCTTTAAACCAGTGCTCTAACAGGATACTCATATCTGAAATCAAAACATGGCATCGGAAATGTACTCTTTCTATTTCAATCTGCACTGTGATTATGGGGGTGGCTGTCCAGCATGTCAGCCTTATTTCCTTTAACTTCATGAAACCAATAATTCAATAGGTAATTTGCTTTTAAATTTACCACATGCAATTAAAAAGCAAATTCTCAAGTGTGACTTTATTTCAGCAACATAGTTGCCTGTTTTAAAGTTGTTTTTGTGTTGTATTATTTTCAGATCAAATCCAGGGTATTTACATACATCTTGGGCCTCAGGAAGCGTCCATGGATTGTGTTTGGGATTTGCATGAGCACTGTCATCTTGAGCATTTCATTAACAGTCCTCATTTCATCAATCATGTACTGGAAATCCGTGAAAAGATCTCGGGTCCACCCACAGGGCAAGATCAGAAAGATTATTAGGAGGCCCTATCCCTAATTGCCTTTTGTTTTTTTTTTATGAAAATCTGTTTATGTCTGTAAAAGAGTACAGGAGCACAATTCTTGAGGGGGATAAATTAGTATGTGGATCTTCAACAAACTACAAATTTCACAGACTTTTCTAAAGCACTGATTTACATTTAACCAGATAGCAATTTGATTGCACCATCCAAGTTACAATATATTTGAATCTGAAAAGGAATTGTAGAAAACTAAAACCATAAAAGGTGCATTTTGTACATTTTCAATTCTTAATTAACTTTTGATAGATGCTATGTTCTTTTAAAACAGTATTATTAACTAGTGTTGCATTTGGTACAGTCCCATTCAATAATGTGTTGGTTTGTAACTGGAGTTTAAATTATGATCCTACATTTGCACACTCATAGGTGCCCCATACAACCCTTCTGATCTTGTCTGAATTCACAGAACTTTATTACACAACACTGTGACTGATAGGCGCACTAGGTCAGGGTCATGGAATGCCAGGCTGTCCAGCTAATCAGATTAGAGTTTATACAATGTGAACATGTAACAGCCCACAGATCTGGAATCATCACATCTCTCCAAACGCGCTGCATTGCCAGATGTATATACAGTATGCAGAGGAGACTTTATGGAAAAGCTGTAGGCAGCTTTGCTCTTTTTCAATGACTCAGAGCTCATGCTCAAATTTGGTGTGTATTTCACTTATGAGATCATAGTCTCCTGACTTGGTCTTGGGAGAGTTGTTTAATGATAATAATCAATTTCCAGTGTAATGATACTTCTCTTTGTCAGGAGTATAGTAAAGCAGAGGCTGAGAAGTGTGTTGCTTGGTTAGCAATCTTATTTTTTAATAAATACAAAGAGATAAAACTCTCTGAGACCACTTCAGTGATATGTGATAATTAGCTTAATTGATTGATTAGCTTCTCCATCAATTAAAAGTTGCTCAAAATACCATTCTTTCACCCTTTTTGTAGAATATATAGAATATAATGGGCTGTTTTTTAATATAATTCAGAACACATCTCCTATATTTTGATGAGACAATATGTTAGCAAATCAGTAAGAGAACACAGAATAGCAATCCTCAGCCATAAAAGTAATTTTGAAAACATGATCCTCTTCAATTGCCTATGGATCACATTTGTGCTCTTACAACATTCAGCTACAAAAGAGTTGGAGAAACACCAAAGAGGCTTGCACCTCCAGTGGCATTATGACTTCAGACCTTCCAACAGCGTTCTTAAGAGTAAAGAAAGGCAAAACCACAGTTTAATGTACATGTCTCAAGATATCGTTAAAGTCCTTTTCATATCTAAAATGTGAGAGATTAAAATATTTGTTCGGTAGCATGACATTTTTCACTAGACCCCGAGTCTACCTGTTGAAAAGTGAGACAAAGAGTCCTGGGGCTCATTTCACTCTCTGGACTTGTCTGGCAGGGTGGTGTGCATTCATATTATCAGATGGCAAATTCTGGACAAATGAAGGTTGACATTTTATCCCAGTCCAATGGACTTGATTATATGTGTTCTCTTTGTGCTCTTTTACAGACTCAACTCAAGGGGCCTATGGCGGCCTTTTTAATGCAAAGTAGGGACAACCCAATGAAAGCCCTAGGTGTGCTCGCTGGTGTCATTTGCGTTATGGTAATCGTAACGGTCTTGATCTCCACGGCTATGTTCTTGCGCAACAAAACGTCCAACAGGATCACGCCGGCCCGCCGCATCATCAAGAAGAGGCCCAAAAAGCATCCGCTGCGGACTCTGCACCGTGGCTGGTTCCCGTTCGGTCGCCGTGGCAACTCCTCTGAGAGGTTCACCGTTGAGGACCCAGGAAGTGGCGACGAGAATCTGAATAGCAACAACAACATCAAGATGCCGCCACCGCCTCCCAGCGCCCCTGCTTTGCCCCCACCCCCCCAGTACATTCCCAGGCCCGACAAGAAAGTGTGGACTGTGCCAACGGTGTCCGGATCACTGGTGTCCACATCTGCCAAAACACCCGTCAGTAACAAAGATGTCAGCTCGGCACTGGTGTCTGAGCTAAAGATGAAGCTGGAGAAAAAGATGATAGAGAACAGTGCAACCCGCTATTGAGTTATTTTTGTTTTCATTGTTAAATGTTGGATTTAATCCTTGATAGCTCATATGTCAGTATTTGACTGTGATGATATATTACTGTTCCTGATAGTCACATGTCTTATGAAAAATAATACACCTGATCAGGAAGAACTGGATGGGATAAAATGACATTATTGTTCGTTCTATTGTGATAACTTTATGAGGAGTGTTTGCATTGAATATTCTGGGACAAAAGGAGATTGAATAATGTAAGTTAAACACATTGAAAATTGTTCAGTGAATGGAAATATCATACAGTATGGGTTCAACTCTTTTTGAGTTGAGTTTTGTTTTGTTGAAGAATGTCTGTTTCACCATAAGATTGATTAGCCTTATGTTAAGACAACACCATAGAACTGTAATTTGCTGTTGTCATCTAACCATACGTGAACACTGCACCTGCTCCTAGGAGACAGATACTGTAAATGGACTTTCTCCAACAAAGGAAAATTAATCACTGATTAAGTGGGAGAACATATTTCTAAATACATTTGTATAGGTAGATGTGAAAGCAATTTAGGGAAATTAGTACAATATAAGTTTAATTAAACAGTGCAAAGTCAAACGTGTTCAGGAGAAAAGGCTAGGAAATCATTTATTATAGCATCAACAGGCTTACACACCTTTGTCCCTAAATGTTCTTGTCCCTAAATGAATTATTTCTTTCCCAGGGCACAAAGACATTATTCATTTGGATCAATTTCATTAATTTAATCAGGAAAACGTATTAATTCAGAGCTCTGATGGAAAGATGTACTGTAGATGCGAATGCTCAAAGTAAAGTTTGACAACCACATTCTTTAAGGATTCTGAAAAGTTGAACAGAATTTTATTTAATTCAGGAATCACATTGGCAAAGTACTCAGAAATTCCTTGAGAAAATTGACACATGCTTACATTTTGTTGATTTAGTCACTCCAAAACACTGAATTTCTTCATTTCATCTTTTAAATAGAATGTGTGAAGCAGCTGTACACTAATTGGCATATTTCGACATGTGATTGGTGTTTTGTGATTGTGAAATTTGATTGGTTATTTATAAGTTTGCAGGCATTGAAAGAAAAAACATCCTAATATTCAAGCTGTATTTCAAATTCTTTTGGCCTAGAAATGCTTCAGCTCCGTGATCTTGGTCAGAATACATACTGTACTAATGTGTGCAGTACACACTAAACAGCCTGGCCTTTATCAGACTATAATGTTGGCACCGCACTGCCATCTTCTGGATTTAAGATGCTTATCAGCAGCTCCACTACAGTGGCACTAATTAAGAGCTGAAATCTCAAAACAGCTTCTAAAGTCAAGATTTAACTGTGTCAAATTGTCATTGAAAAATATATATATTTTTTAGAATGTAAAAAAATCCCAATGATTTAATTTCTTTTGAGAAAGAAACATGTCTTTAGTTGCATCCATCGTTAAAAAACATACAATAAACAATGCTTTTATATTTAATATTTTATTATTATTGTTGATACTCTGTTTCTGGTAAGTAACTCAAAAATAACAAAGAAAAAAATGTGCAGTAAGTTTGAGGTTTTTTCAAATAAATCCAGAGATGGAAGACCAAATTAAAGTGATACTAAAGTAGGACTAAAGTTTACTAAACATTCACTTTGAAGCTACTAGAAACCCAGAAAGCTTGTTGTATAACAGAGTAGAGTCCAGTGACCAAACTCACAATGCCAAAGATATGTATCTTAATTAAATATTGCTAAAAATAAAAAATACATAAAACAAAGGATAAATATGAAAGTAGCAACAGTGGTGTTGGTAGGGCAAGTTGAACATTACCTATGTTGAGATGCGGTTTTGTTGTATTTTATGCCAATTATTTAAATTCCATGTTTTGTTGTTTTTTTATTAATATTTACTGTATATTTATAACTGAACACTACGACTAGAATGTCATGTGATTGTAAAATATTTAGTATTTTAAGTATCTTAAATTTCACCAAGAACAAAAAAGTTCTAAAATTATGTTTACGTGAAATAATAATGTTTTATTGTTTATCTGATGTGGGGGCTGATATTGTATCTTATTTCCACTGAGTTGTGGTGTCGGAAAGTTTAGCATACAGTATTTTTAAAATCACCTCTTCACACTTAATCCTTTGACTAACTGGTTAGTTAAGATGTGGTTAGTGGTGTGATGTGGTTATTGTGTGGTCAGTGGTTAGTTAAGATGAATGGATAACTACATTCAAAAGGAAAAGGCAAGGGGATTCTGAGGGATTCAGAGCAGCAATCTACTGTAAGACCTATGAGATGAAGAATTGTAGACAACACATCAGACATCAGCTTTGAAATGAGCCCAGATTAGCTTCATTGGAGTGGTACATCTTGGTAGAGTATGTATTTTAATTGCTGAAGAATGACGGCAGCTTAAGTATGTTGTACAAATAATTGTTAGAATAATTGATATTATGAAATTAATATGGCAGAGTAGGTAATTTACATTACGTTTCATCCAATAAGCCATTTAAATTATATGAAATTCTGCTTCTTCCTATGGATCTCGGTTTATAATAAAGACTTGCAGGAATGCAAATGGATCACTAAACCATCTTAAACATGCTCAAGTGTTGTGAAGGTTTGACACACCTGTAATAGTTTAAATAGCATTTTACTGGGTTTTGTGAGATCAAGAAGGCTTCTCCAGAGAACAAACCAATAACTTAGTTTTTCCCCCTAATTCCACTCAATTGAATCAGAAAATGTGCAGAATATAGAACAAAGAAATAATATTCTGAAAAAAGCACATACAGCACAGAATACAATGTTTCAGCTGTGGAGCCTTCTTCACACCTGAAGAAGGCTCCACAGCAGAAACGTTTCCTTTCTTCTCTTTTCAGCATGGAATAAACCTTTAATTGTTCCTTTGCAGCCTACGCATGCTAAACTACGCCAGTCTACGCATGCTGTGACCCACTATGCCTTCCTCTAATCTTTTTCTAGATCTCTTCATCGTTCCTTCTCTTCCCCCCAGAGCTACTTGCTCCCTCTTGCACTAAACCAGCATTCCGACTCTTCACAGCCATCTGTTCCAAGACCAGGCTTTCTCACCACCTCCCTTTCCCTTACAGATGTCATCGAGAGCCGAAGAAGGCTCCACAGCCGAAACCTTGTCTTTCCTTCTTCTCTTTTCAGCATGAAATAAACTTTTTACTCATTCCTTTGCAGCCTACGCATGCTGACGCAGCTACCTACTTGAACTACAAAGAAATAATGGCCTGGTTTAGAAGAGGACTCTGAAACTCTTCATAAACTGCACAGCTGAATATAAAACATATTAAGGTATTGACTACTACCAGTATGTGTGAACAACAAGAAAGAAGTTATATTCAATAATACATTTATATTACATATGCATTTTGTCTTCATGTAAATTTTAAGGATCACCAGTATATTTCCTGTGCTTTAACTGAGTGTAACAACTGACAATATATTATTTAACCACATCATAAGTTTGACAGACATATTTAATGTAGGCATACAGTTTAGGTTCATGTTCAATTTATTGTTTTGATAAAGAAATCACATACCTTTATGTGAACTATCTGTGCCTTGTATCAGAGCTCTTTGAAAACAAATTATGAGTTAGTGATGATTCAAATGAAAATAAATGTATATAGATTAATGTAGAAAGTAACAAAGGGGTTTCTTCAGGAGAAGGGGTTGTGGGAGGGTAAATGTTTTGGAATTGTGAGCCCTTCATTAAAAATGTACAACTTGTTGTAAAAACATGTGTAATATAAAATGTAAAGGTGGAAAAAAGCACTTTTAAAAAATTACCAATCCTTTAAGGCTCCTGTAATTCAGGAAGGTGAAAACCATGCATTGTGGGCTGGATATCTATTGAATAATCAATGTCCACTCAAAGGTTGAAAAAAATATTTCTTTGGGTTGTGTTAAATCCTAGTTAAGTGGGTACGATTTGCTGGAGAATAAAAAAAAAGCTTATCACTTATCGCAAATATTTTTGTTTCTGTCTGTGTATATTGCCTAAAAATTCTTAAGCTGTGCGATTAATGTGATTAAAACAATGTATTAGTATTGTTTGATGACTGAACAGCCTAATTTCATTTAAAAAAATAAAAATGCACATTATATTTCTTTTGAGGAAAGAGAACAATGTATATGAGTAAAATTGTCATTTGTAAAATAAATTCAATTGATAGGCCATTTCTTACTTTTTAAGTGTTTTATTAATTTTATTAGTATAATTTATTAATTTTTTGGTAGTATTTGAACTGCTGGTTTTAAAGTATTTCTGAATTTCTTTGTGTTCAGAAAAATTCCCCTCACCCAAAACACCAAGGTTATATAGTGTTTTACATTAGACACAAAACATGTTTTCTGTGAAAGATTATGTTGCTTGATCATAAACATTACAATCTGGTTTAATGACAAATTTAAAAACTCAGAAATATTTCAAATGCAGAGTTTCAAGTACAAAGTCTGACATTATGCGATTCAATTTATTTTGGCTTAATTCACCTCAGTATGCTTGACGTACATTCTCATCACAGGCTAAGTATAGTAAGATCTATGTTGAAACAAATACAGAAATAGAGCATGAGGGACAAGGGATCTCTTCATGTAGGATTTATGAGAGGGGATTACCAAGTTGTAAAGTGCATTGATGCACAGGGATAATAAATGGCATGAAATGTGAAGCAAAGGTGCATGTCAGTAGATGGTTTTGCTGAATTCCTTCCTCATAAAGTCGAAGAGGTTGCAGAATTGTCTGTCATGCAAAAGATGAATTCATGGGCTTGGTAAGTAAATGTGACCACAAACTAATTTTTGTCTTTGGCAATTTTAGCCCTGTGCCATCTTCTCATCTTATCTTACTGTACTTTGTAATTTTGACATCCGAGGTGATACAGTAGGTTGATATAATAAATACACTGATACTATACTGTAGCTACAAACACTGCTTTGCTTTTACAAGCCTAGTATGGTAAGAAAAGTAAGCCACAAAATGAGCCCAGAATATAAATTCAGATGTTCCCAAGTCTCTCAGTGAAGAAAATGAGTTATGGTCGATTTTGGTGAAATGCTGGCCAAGTTCAGAGAGCAGATCCAAGCACCTTGTTCTGCCATATACCACAGACTGCTAGCTGTGTTGTTTGAGTTCTTGAGAGCATGCTTGTTTTGTCAGTCTGGCTAGGATTTAACATAATTTGTGATTTTGATAAACATTTTTTGCATATTTGTGTTATATGATATAATGTAGTTCTTTATCACTGATGCACAATTTAGTACCCTAAACATGATCCAACTCTGAGCAAAAATGAAACATCCTGTAAGAATAATGCTTTAAATAGTCAGGATTCAGACCACTATTAGGTACAGATGATGTAAACCTGAAAATTATAATCTTCTTATTAATATTTGTATGTGCGCACGAAAACCATTTGCTTATATAATAAATCCTCTTTATAATTGTATTGAATGCCAAAAAGATATGCATGCTTTGGCATTTGGTAATCGTACAAATGCGTAACTGTTTATAGAAGTGGAGAGAACAAATGGTTTGCAAACTGGTATTGGATCTACATGGTAATCCCTTTTCATTCAGGAAATACGCAACAGCTTAAGAGCATTTCTGCTGCAAACGTGTAATCCTGTACTGCCCAATGTTATAGGAAAAGTCTGGACTTGTTTATGGTACTGAATAGATGGCAGTATACTTTATTTTCATAATTTGTATTGTTCTGAAAAACCTCAATTTATATTTACATCTTCATGAGATAATATCCTGAATTTCAAGATATCAAAGATCTAAAAAAGTTTTAAAATAATTTTACAAAGTGCTTTATTTTATTTTAAGCTTTTGATTTGCTGACAAATTGGATAGATTTGTGCTTTACTTCAAGCACAATACTTTTAAACAGTTGCCATCCATTTTCTACTGATTCTATATCTACAGTATCCTGTCACATTTTATATATCTTTAGCTGCTTTCCTGAAATTAGAAATTTTGATCTGTTCAGTTTCAAAATACACTTTAAAGCACACTAAACTATCTAAAGATCACAGTTCCCTAATGGCTCCTCATATTTATTTGCCTCACTCTGTCTTTATTGTTTGAAAAGGTGAGATTCATACAAGCATTTCTTCTTGTAGGTAATCAAACAAACTGAGTAACATAAACCATTTCAGTTTCTGTTGCTGCCATTCCTATAATGTGGTATATTATATATACCACAGCAACAAAACACAGACGGCCCACACATTGTGGTCCGTGTGTGTTTTGTTGCTGTGTTCCACACTTCCTGACCTTGATTGTTCTCCCTCCCCCATTGGTCCATCATTACATCATTGTTTCTCTGTGACATCATCTTCAATCAACTCTCGGCCAATCAGAACGCAGATTATTCAGTATATTAGTTGGAGGTTTTCAGAAGGAAGGGACCTTTTGTTTGACTTTGGTCCCACTTGGCTTAGCTTCGGTTTTGTTTCGCTTTTGGTTTTTGCTTCGGCTTCGTTCGTGTGTTTTCGTAGAGCTTTGGCTTTTGTTGGTTAGTGTTAGTTTCTTTGTGCTTTTGTTTGTTTGTGTTTATCCTTGTCTAGCCATTACCTTGCCCAGGTGTATTGTATCAACCTCTGTGTTCTTTTGTACCCTGTTACTTGTGTCCACTCTTATTTTCCCTTATTTGTATTCCTAGTTTACTTGTGTATTTGTGTGAACTTTTGTGTATAGGGTTAGTCTAGGTTGTTGGGTACATCTGCACACATAGTTGATTTTTGTATTAGTAACACTAGTTTAGTACTGGTGAGTGCCTTTTGTCTTGTATGGTTTTGGGTAGTCAGTGAAGGTTAGCTAGGGTGTTGAAGCCGCCGAAGACCGTGTATTTCGGGTTTTCTTTTGTAGTAAGGTCAGCTTCCCTCACTGTCCTAGCCAGCTCCATTTTGTTTTTTTCTTTTCTTTTCTTTGGCACCACTCTAGTTCCGTACCCTTATCATGCTTCCTAGTCCCTCACCAAAACCCACCTGCTTCCAAAAGAATTATCCTAAATGTTACACCCCTTTACCCCTAGATACTTGGGGTCGTAACAATCTACATTTGGTGTCTATAGCACACCCCTAACACTACACCTTTAGAATACTCTTTGACCATCTTAACTATAGGGAAAAAGTGACAATTTTCCCTGACCAGAATTTCCATACCAGTAGTTTAGTGACAAGCGGACGCTGTGATGAAGGGAGTGTTGTCCTTTCATGAGATGTCTTGATTCCTTGGTCATTAAAGGTTTCCTGACTCTTATCTTAAAGAAATGTTAGCCTCAGTGTTCTGGCTACACCGTAATTCAATAGGTGAAGCAATTGCTCACTTTTCTGCCTAGTCTGTTGTGTAGAGGAGCTGCTGGTATAGAATGGCTGCCAAGGGTCTCCTAAGTGCGTGCTGTAATTCTGTGGTGGTAAAAGTGGATCTGTTTCTGGCTGCAAAGTATTATGATATTTATCCATTCATTTTCTAACTGCTTTATCCAATTCACGATGGCGGGGGTGCTGGTGCCTATCCCAGCAAGCAACAGGTGCAAGACAGATTACACCCTGGAAGGGACACCAGTTCATTGCACGGCACACACTGACATGTACAGACTCACAGGGCCAATTTTCCCAGAAGGCAGTATGTTTGTGGACCGTGGGAGGAAGATAGAATGCCCAGAGGAAACCCATATAAACACAGGGAGAGCATACAAACTCCATGCAGATAGTCCCCAAGGAATTAAACGCATGGTCCCAGTGTGCAAGGCAGAAATGTTAACCACTGCGCCACTGAGCTGCTCGCTTTGGTAGCCTTCAGAATGAAAAGTGCTATACTAATGTAAGGTATAATCATATTATTATCAAACCCCGGTGCAGTGCTTTTGCAGACTGAAATGAGTTTCATCACAGCTAAACACAGGCTCTGGCTTATATCCCTTATCTTCCATGGGTTTCCGTAGGAGGTGGGCAGATTCAGTTCTACACTGCAGAGGCTAAAATTGTTGAACCAGCCTCCACTGGCTCTAACTTCACACATCATCAGTAGTCATCATCAGCCTTGAACAGTCAAAATAACTGCAGGTTTTAATTGGTAAAACAATGGTCTCAAAATGTTCACCACAAATAAGAGGATCAGAGAACTACAAAGTTCTACTGTATTAGAGAAGAGTACATAAATAACAAGACACATACATTCCCTAAAGAAGTATGAAATGTATTGTTAGCTATGTCTTTACACAAAGAGATGAGTACATTCAAGGAGTATATGCACATTTGTTTCTATTAACAACACACTTGCATGTCAATTCATAACAATGTTTTACATAGAACATGAAGAAGAAAGGCAAATTTGTACTCCAGACAACAAGAAATTCTCGACTCATTTACTAAGGCTTGACTTTCAGATCCAATTGGCTAATTCATACTGTAGTACTCATATAATTCAGGACACCTTCCCTTTCTAAAACATTTAACGACAAAGCTGACATAATCTAACTGTAAAAATATTTTGTGCTATATGCCTTTTTGTACACTTTACAAAATACTCCTGTATTCTTTTCTTTGAAAGGACTAATAGAGCCCAGCAGCGGTTCTTTGGTCAGCTCTGGCCTTCTGTATTCTGTCGTCTGACCTTCTTCTTCTCCTTTTGTCCTCACTGGAGTCTCTGCAGAGCCCTTCATCACTGCCCGCCTGTAAGCTGTCAAAGGTGCCCTGCCTTTCTCCTGATTTCCCGCTCTTTTCCGCGTGTCTTCGTCTTTTACATAACTCGGAGCACCGGTCGAAGCAGCTGAACCTGGTTTCGGTGGTGCAGGCGTACATTCCTGCTGGCACTGCCAGCACCATGGCACACACAATAACCACGATGTGAATGAGCTTTTCTCTTTGCTCGAGTTCGGTGATGTCGCTGCCCGTCACGAACACGACGCACTGGCCTCTTCGGGGAGACTGATTTTTCAGTGCGATACACACCTCGTACTTTGTTGCCGGCAGCAGGTCAGTAACTGAGTAGCTGTTGATGCCAGGTCCGATGTAGATCATTTCTTTCTTGGCGTCGTCGTATTTCCCGAAGTGTATGGTGTACCAGGTTTCAGAGGGGTTCTGTGTTATGGCATACCACTCCAGAGTGATTCCATAGACTGTCTGTTTTGCAATGCGGATGTCGATATAAATATTCTCTTCTGCCGAGGGCAAGGGAAACACAGATGAAAAGGGGGAGGACGATTCTGGGCCTGTGGCATTTACCATTATGCTGACTGAGGAGTTGCCAATAAAGTTGTTGGCAGTGCAGGTGTACGTCCCCCTGTCTGGTAGCTGCAATGACGGGATCACCAGCTCTGACTTGATGGTGTCTTCATCTACGTGAGTCTGCGTCTCTTCGCATGTAAAAGAAAGCAATCATCTGTCAGAAAATGCCATGTTATCAAGCCAGTCCACAATTTGTCCTTGTTCTACCCTGGGGATATCAAAACAACTTGTACTAAAATAAAACAATCCCGACATCAAACTATAATCAGCAATAATATTAAACAAATTTGGATGTGATTTCTGATCATTGCTACTGATCTAAATTTGCCTTAAGGTTGGTGGTTTTTCTCAAGTACTTGTTTGTACTTGAAAGTACAAGTTCTACATTGTGCTTATTTACTACAGACAGAATAATACTACAGACACACAGAAATGAAAATAAACTCTATAGAGAGAAATAAAAGCTTTTGTGCACTATGGTGACTCTAACTATCCCACTGGAAAATAAAATTCTGTTGGTTCCAATACTTACTCCTTGTATTTAATGATTGTTATAGTAGTATTGTAAACCTTACTGTACATATACAAATTCTTCTGGCAATTTTATCCAAATTCTTCATATCATAACTTCCTTGACAGCCGGACAGCAATCCCTATGGTACAGACTCTGGACATTCTGTCACATACCATTAGTAGTACATTATCATCTAATATTGGTCCGTTCAGTTTCAGCTGTCCCCAGAGGCATGTTTCTATTACTTCTTTAATCTTTTCCATCAAGCTTATCCCCAAAAGATGTCAGTGGAGTTAACATCAGTAACTATCATTTTCAATACCTCTTTTCCATTTTTCAATTAATGAAAGCTTTGTTTCAGTGATTTTTATGTCAATATCTATATTGAAAGGGAAACCTTCACACATATGCCACCTTGCTGATGGTGTTGCACAGCACTGAGGAACAGAACAATGTTATACTTCCTGTTTCTGCACTACCCCTCATACTTCACACCACACCACTGAGATGTCATGGGGTGAAAAATAAATATAAATGACCCTGATGAAACTATTAAAGCTGAAATTAAAACGGATGTTGAAGTACAACTTAAACGTTTTAAAAGAAAGCTTTGAATGCCCCAATTTCTGCTCTTTAATTAGGGGACATATTTTGATGAGAAAAGCTTGTAGTATAATTAACGGGAAGCATGTTTTATTTGGAGTTTTCTTTAGAGAAGCTTAAAGACCTTTGCACAAATTAAAAGCCATGTTGTTTCTTCTTTTCTTGCTTGTATTTTCAATATGACCATGCTTTATACAGTGAATGTAACCCTAGTCTGTCTCAGTATAGCTCTCCTACTGTATATTGCCTAGCTCCGGTCTCTTCACTCCCTACACGCCCTCCTTCCCTTTTTCCTCCCCCTCCCCCTCAGGTTCTCTGTTCCTCTTCTTCATGCTCCACTTCCAGAGCCTGTTCTTTCTCCAGCCTTCCTCCTTACAGGTGGAAACCTTCTGCCTATAGAAATCAGAACTGCCTTATCCCTGACCTCCCTCTGGCACCTGCACGAGTCTCAGCTGTTTAGAAAACACTGTTTCAGCCCTACATCCTTCAATAAGTCTCAATGCTCTGTTTTCCATTCTCACACTGCTAATGTAGCTTTCTAAATGCCTTTACTGTAAACAAAGTAGTCGGGCCTACAGGCTGTTTGATTTACTGCTCGTTACTCAAAAGATACAATCTTTCATATTGATCATGTGGCACTTGCATTACCTGTCTGGCTCGTGCTGTTCTTATCACCATTTCATTAATTAAATCAATTTGACTTTTGTGTGCCTGCACAGTTGTTCCTTGCACTTAATAATGGTGCATTTTGTATTCTAAGCTGGCCTGGATAATGGCATCTGCAAAGTAAGTGATAAGTGCAGGGTGATACAATGGCTTGGTAAATAACAGTGCTGCCTCACTCTTTGATTCTCGGCTGGACTCCAGGGTGGAGTGGCTTCTATGTGCACTTTGCCTGTCCTCCATGTATTTGCAGGTCTTTTCTCTGGATGTTGCATCGTCTTTCTACATCCCAAAGCCATCCTGACTAGGTTACTTGATGTTTCTAATCTTTCTCTGTTTGTTTTGCAACTGACCGGCATCCTGTCCAGTGTTTTGTCCCACTTTGTACCCTTCAAGGATAGGCTCTTGATTGCAGTGACCCTTGTAAGAATACATGTTTTTTTGATAATGGATCCAGTGATGGGGCAGGCAATTGGAGAGCTGTGATATAATCACTTTCTGTTCATCTTTAGGTTTTGCTGCTATTTTGGCCAGGGACTTTCTTTAATAAAGATACCATCTTGTTTGTTTAGATTGCCTGCTCAGTGTTAAATATAACTCCAGGATAAACAGGTGTTCATTTTGAACAAGAGTGTATTAGCACACTCACTTACAGTCACTGTATACAGTCTTTGTGTGCCCTCCTCAACTAAAATCAAGTCTTTTTTTAAGGTAATCCTAAAGCTTGCGGTTTTGTTCTGTGCAGTTTGTTTGTTTTGTAAATATCTTGATTTTAAGGCTATATGGTAATGACAAAAATGCTGACTATGACTTATTTCAAATGATGTTGTAGAGCTTACCAAGAAGATTAATAAATTAACTTTAAAACGTTGAAAGCAACTTTGAATGTCTAGGAAAGTTTCTGTTAAGAATCTAATGCAGTAAATTTGTAAACATTTTGTGTGAGGATTACTTTTAAGAATTAACAGTAAATTGGAGAAAATGTTTAAAGTCAGCTACTGTTTAAAAATCTCTTTAAAACAATTCTGTCCCTGCCAATGTTTTAGAACATCATCCATTGTATACGGTAGGCAACTTGCAATACATTACTTTTAAAACTTACTTTCCCTGACACTTAATATTCAGCCCTTGGATGTCTTGAGTCGAAAATACTCTTTTCATTGATGCTACTAGAACATTATTTTAAAAACATTTAAAGACAAGAAGAAAATAAACTATAGAGAGTGAAAGAAGGTTAACTGCCCTGTGGCATATATGTTGATTTATGAAATGTAAATTAACGTGTCTCATTTACAAGGCAGTGACTTAGATTAACATAATGATAGCGTATGGTCAAAGTTAGTGAAATAAGACTAAACCTTACCATTAAATCCTCTTATAATCTTCAAGCCATATGTCCACCAGACAGCTGGATCTGGCCGTGCCTTAGCCAAGCATATAAGAGTAATGTTTACCCCCAGAGGCAGTGAAATGTTTGTAATAGGTGCAGTGGCCACTGGCTTCATGCAATTCTTTATTTCAACTTCGTGGAAAAACTTGCCTGCCATGAACTGTGGGCCTCTGCAAGTCAAGTAGGAATTCATCAATATGACAGGCGGGCTGAGAGATCTGATAAACTGGACAAAGCCTCTCAGGCGACAGTCACACAGCCAGGGGTTGTCATGGAGAGCCAACACGACATTAGACGCGCTCTCCTCTCTTCTTCCGTTTTGCTCTGCCGAGTGGTAAAGAGGCCAGTTCAGAAAGACATCTCTGGATATGACAGTAAGCTGATTGAAGGATAAATCTAAGTAGGTCAGGCCTGGCAAATGTCTTAACGCGTGTTCTGGAAGAACGTCTAGACGGTTATGTTTCAGATCCAGAATTTTTAAAACAGGTGTATCCTGAAACGCTGTCCAAGGTACTGAGCGCAGTTTGTTCCCCTGCAGTCTCAGCTCCGTCAAATTCTTCAAACCCTCCAGACTCTTCATATTCATAACCGTTATATTGTTAAAGTTTAGCCAAAGATACTCCAGAGCACCAATTCTAGCAAACGAGCCACGAGGTAATTCCGTAAGGAAGGAGTTTTCAATTCGGACTTTTCTGAAATCCTGCGGGATGTTTTCTGGAATTCTTCTTAAGGCGGACGTCATACAAAGCAGTGATCTAACAACAACGTGAAACAATGAAAACAGGAATCATCACATTTTTAGTATCTATTACTGCTAGAAAGATTTTTTTTTCTGGAACATTGTTACAAAATATTATAATTATTTTATTAAAAGTATTAATTTGTAATTTTGCATATAAGTCACTTTGTTTAGCTGTTAGAAAAGCAAGTGATCGCTCAGCGGCACATTTATTCAAAAGAGTTTAAACTTTTAGCCACAGTGATCTTCGAATAAATTCTCCTGCAATACGAAATAAACACAACTTACCTCCCGTAACTGTCATTTGTACAACTGCAACCAGACAAGCAGTAAGAAACAACTGGATTGGCGTGAAGACAAATGCAAGCTATTACTAATGCAGCATAAATGGTGTCCATATTCCTTTAAAAGAAACACATGTAAAGTATTTGCACAGGACATGTCCACAGGTTCAGTCTAGTAAAGCGTATTATCATTAATCTTCCCTGACGCAATTCTTAAACACCTTAAGACACCAAATGACAGCTAAAGACGACGGAAGTCGGTATTTTTAGTTCAGCGAAACAGATTCATAAAATAATTGTGGGAGGTTGTTTTATGCATACACATACATATATTGAATACACATATAGAATATTTCCAGGTTTTAGTTATTTAGATATGTATAAATTCAATTTAGCTATAACTCTAGGAAACTAATATCTGATAGAAGCTGTAATTTTAAGAGTGCTTCAACGACAAGCACAAACTCCTTATATGAATTCAGATGAGATCATACCTGAAGATGGAAACAAGGATGATCTAACAAATCCAAAAGATAGTTTTTTGTTTTAATGGACCTTCAGTGTAAAACACTTTTGAATTGTGCTTACACATGACATGACAACATGACAACAACTAATAAAAGACAAATGGAGCAGAAAAGTACAGACTGTAATCCACCTGTGCCCTCTACAGATGTAATGTAGCCTATGACTAATTCAAACTGAAAATATTTTCAAATATTTTTCCTAAAATGTTAGAAATTACACATTGCTTGGGCTACTATGATGACACACAATAATTACAAAGAGAATAATGGATTTAAAATAATTGTAACACATTGTTAAAACATATCATGTACTTAATTGCACCTTACTCACAGTAGACTGGTATAATGCAATCAGACAACCTTTAACTTGGCTTGGTTTCCCCTAATAATAAAAAACAGGAAATAGATACACATGCATGTAGTTCTATATACATTGAATAAAGCAATGACTATGAAGAATGACATCAAGGTACAAAATGCACATTTACAAGAACAAAGCTGTTCACAGTTCATTTGTTTGTGATTTTGAACAACCTCTACTATCAGTCATATTATTTCTTGCTTAACACAGAAAGTACTTTAATAATTTCTCAGCATACAGTGATTTTCATGTGCAACTAATTAACTACAATGGTACTAGACCAATACTATAGTAAATATAGTTCCAAACATTTCATTGGAAGCTGTGAAAAGGGATGTTAACTGAACAGAACATTGACCCGATAAATCAAGGAGCAGCAACAGCTCTAGCCAATATAACACGAGTGTTTTTATCTTTTAAAAGTGATATGAGTATAGCAACTGAGAAACTGTCACCATACCAATTAAGAAGTTAGATCATAAAGCTCTTATTGTTTGACCTGCTGTATTCATCTCCCCATCTGCTTGTTGTGTTACCTGGCTTTTTAAATGTAATAATGAGAGTGAACCTTTTTTTCTGAGTTAGATCCTCCTTACCATGTCCATATATTTTGTGACACTAAAAAGCACAATTTTAATGTTGTCTGATGCTGAATCCATTTGAGCTTATACATCAGTATTATACCAGAAATGCTGTAATTTTTTGGTGAAAAAGGGTCATTTTTTAAATGCTTTTCAGGAGATTTTTAGAGATTAAAGACTAAATGTCTAAATTCGTAAGTGTACAATCTGTTTTTGTGGATGAATGAGCTACTGCTCAGTAACCTTACAACTGTGCATTTTGCTGTCCTTAACTTATATGCTCTCTAACTAGTGAAAGTCCAGAATATGCTGTCATAATCTTCCAAACAATTTATCAGTATATCTCAAGAGACTAGGCACATAAAGCAGATATTTGATTATTAATCTCTCTCTCTCCCTTCCTAAACTACATAAAGGAGATGGTATCTTGCTCTACAATGTATCTTGAAATTAGTTTCTTTGATTCATGGTTTATTAACAATATTGTTATTTATTGAACAAAGATTGTCACATTTGGCAAGTTTTTATTTTCATATAGTACAGTAGGTTCACCAGGTTATCTAAATGTTGTAGGCAGATCTCATCAGATCTTACCGTTAAGCAAGGCTTGGTCGGTGCTGGGATAGGAGACTTCTAAGAAAGCAAAGGAACAAGTAATATGTTAATAAGGTTTATTCCATGCTGAAAAGAGAAGAAAGAAAATACAACGTTTTGGCTGTGGAGCCTTCTTCAGGTGCATTACTTGTTCATTTGCAGCCTACGCATGCTGTCGCAGCTACCCACCTGGACTTCTAAGGAAAGCTAGGTTGCTACTACAAGTGGTGTTGGTGGACCAGTAGGTGGCACTGTTTGATCTGGCCAAGAATTTCCAGTCCAGTGTCCCAGTGTGAGGACACTGTACTGTAGGAGGTGCTGTCCCACAGATGAAACATTAAACTGCTTGTAAACCGCTTGCAAGAGTAGAGCTTTTAACCTCAGCCTCCTAGCTAAACTCCACTTCAGGCTTACACAATCTGTTGTCACTAAATTTATCCTTATATTCTATGTAATTTTTCACTTCTCTACTTGAGCTGCTAAGTTGAGGGTTTTGTGGTACATAATGGCACATCTTGGCTACCATACAACCTGACAAATTATTTGTATTTATTAATTAAAAAACAAATTTAATAACTTTTTGATTCATTTTGAAATCTGATAATTGATCATGACAAACGTGTTATATTATTACAAATTATTTTAATATTTCTTATAGGTATTAACTTGGTCATTTAAAGTGAAATTATAGCTGATTATCTTGATTGTTTTCATTTTTCATCTCCCCTCATGTAATTGCATATATTTTATATTTCAGTAAGATGTGAAGTTTGTAAAGCATGTTCTTACATTACAAAACAAAATATTTCTGTATCATTGTTAAATTAATATCATGCTTCCAAAAAATGATAAAGGGGTCAAATACAGTATGTAAAAATGACTTGCTGTCTACTGTTTATACTGAAATTGTACTTTTTACATCCCTATAAATGTTTTTACATATTAATTGTAATATAAGAAGAACAACCTACTTTGTTTCTTCTCATGATACATAAAGCAAAAATGAGTTCTGCTGAATCTTAACTAATTAAAAAAAAAACTCTAGTCTTTATATTTTAGCAATGTTGCATTTTATTTGCGATGTTAACTTTATATTATTGACACTTGTCTGTAATATTCACAGACAATGACAATGTATTAAGGCTTTGTCCTTCATCATTAGCATATTATTTACTGTAATAATATGATTATTATGTTTGGCACAAAATAGTCATCCCACTTAGCATGTGTTTTGCATTAATGTTCAGCTTCCCCATATGTTGTTTTTTCATGGAAACAAGTAAAAACAGATATACAATATTCATACAGTATATATATATATCACATACATTAAAAAAATGAAAAAATAAATTTGTGGAGTCTTTCAGTTCAATTTCTCACTTACCAAACTGTGTGTGCTTCAGCTATGTCTCATTTGACAAATTAGATGTATTAATGTGTTGCACCTAATGGTACTGTGCATTCTAAAATAACATGATAAAGAACTTTCTTTAAATTGAATTTGGTTCCAATTCTATATTTAAAGTGCAGCGCATAATAACACATAAACAGCAGCTATAAAAACAGGTTTATTTCCATACATTTAAATGAACACATATCTTATGGAAATGAAATTACATGTATATACATTGCAATCTGTTTTACATATTTTAAATCAGATGTTATTAAACCTGGCACATTAGCTTACATGATACACAGTAATACACATTGATATGCAACACATGTGATTCTGGAATGTCTCATTTGAACGAAATTCATGCATCTTACGTTTTGTGTCTATGTGCCAATAAACACACCAGTGGTAATATGCATTTTATGGGATCTGGTGTTTTTTGCAGTGTGTCGAAATACAGTATCTGTCAGTCATATTTTTCACCATTCATCTTCATGGTTATTGTACATGGGTACGAATTGATATTCTGAGAAAAAACACAATAAAAAAGAGTGTATAATAAATGGAAAATGGAATATTCTTCTTGGGTTTATTCTTTTATACACATAATGAAAAAAATATGAGGTTTACAATGAACAACAATAACGACAACAGCAAAAAGTTTCAACATCTGAAACACTTCCCTTTTTAACATATCACTGAAGCAGTGTTCAATAAACAGCTAAGGTAAGTCTTCGAATTCCCACAGGCTTAAGGAACAGTCTCACATACAGTACCGTAGCAAAACCTTTACTTTTAAAAACATTCACAGACCCTCCTAATACATAGCACCTTAAATAAGTGCAGAATCTTCCATAATAAAGCAAAGAACGTGGCATTCCCTTTTCTTTAGGTGTGCTAAGATGTGCTATAACCACATTGCCCACACTGTTTTCCACAGAACACCCTCTCAGAAGCACTGCACAGACATACAACTCTGTCGGAAATCTTGGATGATGCAAGATGTCAGCAGAAGTACTCATTTGGCTGTCCCTCGATCTTAGCAGTGGCCTCGGAGTCCAGGCTAGACCTGGCCGAGAGCAACCGGTTGGACTCCTCTGGGTTGAGTCTTGTCAGGTATTCGCCCTCCAGGCCCTTTGTTTTTGTCCCCGGAGACAAAGTTTCAAATGTGACATAAGAGTCCTGGATGTCTTTCGACTTTCTTCCTAGCAGTTTCTTGCAGCGCCTTTTCAGCGCACCACAACAGACAATTAGTGTTAGAGGGACAGCTATCACACAGGCAACAGTGATTACAACCACATTAATGAGCTTTTGGGTTCCATTAGCACTGGCAGCCTCATCTGTTGAGAAGATTACGCACTGCTCTTTTTTGGGGATCAGTCCTTTGACGCACACACAAGCAATATACTTTGTCTTTGGCATCAGTCCCTCAATGGTGATCCTGTTCTTGCCTGGATCAACGTTAATTCTGCGCATGTCCCTCTCTCCGAAGATTGCATACAGGACACTGAACATGGTGGTGTTTTTGGCAGTGGGTGCCCTCCATGTTAAAGAGACCGTGTGATCTGTGTCCCCAATCACTTTCACCGACCTAACCACACGTTCTGGCTCCTGTTGGAGAGAAGAGGTGTTCGCTGCGAGATTTGTTTTGTCCACTTCCAGTAGCCCCTCTCTGTTCATGGGAATGGACATTTGTCCATTCGCTCCACTGACAGGGATGCTATAATTCTCAAGCTCTGGGTACTGTCCAGTATAATGCCTTGGCTCAGTCTCTGGTGTTGAGGTAGTAGTTGTTGGAACTACATACCTAGCCACAAGTTTTTCCTGATAAGCTGCCTTTCCAATCCCATTTGTTTTTTTTCCCTTGGTCCTTTTTGGGTTACCAGTTTGATTATCTGACTTCACAGCATCGGTTATGATAAGAGAAATGACAGCATCTGCGCTCCCTACAAAGTTTGAGGCTTTGCAGACATACTTCCCAGAGTCTTGAAAGGAGACAGCTGGCACACTTAAGATAGACCAAATGATGCCTTCTTTCGAGACCTCCTGTTGAACTACAAAACATAACAAAAAATTAAATTTCATTCTGAAAACACTATTTCAATGTTCTGTGATAAAATAAGAATAATGATTTAGTAGTCTGGTCAAATTCTAATTAATGCAAGGTGGGAGTATTGGATGTTTCTTTGGCGTAACAACCCCTGTCTGAGAGAAAAGCAACCTGGTTATACTGTAAGTGTGAACCTGAAGGAACCTTCTCCCGAAAGTCTGTTGTAAAAACTAGGTTTTTCTCATGGCTGCTCTATAAAAGAATTTCAGTGTCAGATCAATTTATATTTCTGACCTGTTCAAATAAGGTGCTAACGAGGCCTTGCATGTTGAGTGACTCACCTGTCGCGTTCAGTTGTTTCCCATCTGCTCGCCTCCACGCGAGGTCTGGGATGGGCACTCCAATAGTTCCACAGCGGAGCAGGACATTGTTGCCCACAGCACTCCTTACTCTTGCTACAGCAGTGTGCACTGTTGGTATCTGGCATTTTCTGAGCTCCACATCACTAAACAGAACACCTGAGAGGCTCTCTGGATCAGCACACCTGAGCCTGGTGTCTATAAAAGCTACTGAGGATGATGGAGACCTCAGGAACTGTGTGAGATCATAAAGCTGGCAGTCGCATACCCAGGGGTTGTCATGTAGTCCTATAAGCAAAACCAAAAAGACAAATGGGTACACTGCATACACTGGAACGTCTAAAAATGCCTAGTCTTCCCTCTGAAGACCTAAGTGGTCTAATCTTTACCATTATATTTTAAGATCCCATTAATTTACATATCAATGCAATTTAAATCAATGGTAGCAAGAACAATACCAAATAGCAAAGGTTATATTTGTTTTCATCCACTGAATTTAGCTAAAGGCACAACACCTGCACTCTCATGGTTTGTTTGGTCTAGAAGCTCTTGTGCTTCTAACAGTGCTGTCCAGAGCTGTTTTTTTCAGCATGGATTTTAAAAAGGCTCTTTGAGCCATTACCAGCCCCCTCCTTCTGTTCAGCAGACCTTGGTAGCTAGGGGGAATCTTTCCTTAAAAAGGGACTTTAAGAGGATCTTCATCTTCCCACACATTCTGCTAACTTGATTCTTTATAAGCTACTTACTCCACACTGTCTACAACAGTTACAAAAGGCTTGTCCTCCAGGAGTTGTGAATACTTAAGTATAACATGGCTGTACTGCACAAAAGGTAAATGTATATACTGTTACAGTATGTGTATATGTAACGTTTTAAATACAGATACACCCAAAATGATATAAGAAGAGAATTTCCTCCTGCTGTTTGCCATCTCCAAAATACAGAACACTGAAGATGAGATGGTTTATGAGATCCCTATGTACAGTATACTGTACATAAGAGATGCTCATAAATACAAGTCTGTTTTCAACAACCGAATCCTCTGAAACATTGTATTGTATATTATGCTTTTCCCTTCCATTTTCTAGGGCATTTTTGTTCCAGATTAAAAACCATCAACCTTCTTTTGTCCCATACAATACAGAATAATCTTCTTAAAATGTCATTTATCAAACTCTCCATTCATATAAACCTAAGATTTCAATTATATGTCTGAGAATAAGAACGTGAAAGAATGAAGAATGTTTTCCTACCTAGAATCACCTTGGAATTCTCACTGTAGGCATCCTGGACGGGTTTAACAGCTAACCATGTCGCCAAAACATCTGAACCTATGGTAACAAGGTTGTTGCTGGATAGATCCAGGTACGTCAGGTTTTTTATGTAAACTGTTACCTCGGGCGGGATTGAAGTAATCTGGTTGTTGTGTAAATCGAGTAATCGAAGGCTGGGCATATCTACAATCGATTCCCAGGGAAATGAAGTGAGCGCATTGCCATCCAGTCTTAACTCGTCTAGGCTATATAAACCACGGAAACTGTCAGTATTCAGTGTCGACAAAGAATTGAATGACATCCACAAAAATTCCAGGTTAGAGAGGTAATGGAAGGCTTCACTTGGAATTCTCTTAATTGCGGTCTTCTCAATTCGGAGCTTGGAGGTGTCAAGCGGAAAGTTGGCTGGAACTAGAGAGATCTCCGGGTCATTGCAAAGTACACTCCTAGAACAAAGAAATATATAATTTTTAGTAATAAAGTAATAAATATACAATTTGGACACTGTAACAGTATTTATATACGGCTTTGGAAAGCGATGGATATAACACAAAGATAAAAAAACAACGTTTGTTCTACTAAGGAAATATCTGTTGTGGACATTTAAAAGTTGCAATAGTATATTGTTACGAATTTTTATCTGCTTGAGCTGATGACGATATTTTATAGGACGTTTGATCAAGTTCTTATGTGCGCACAGGCGGCATGTACTTGAGAAAGCTGTTGAACGCCTTCAATTAATTCTCGTCAATGAGAATATTCAGTCAGCGACACAGTGAAGCTAAAGTTTTATGCTGAAATTGATTTAATGGCACAAAACTACAGCTCACTGGACAGCACGTCTACCACAGAAATGGAGGAGAGATTAAAGAGCATTTGCACATTAATCCATCGGTAAATGGACCAGAGGAGAAAAAATATTTCAAGTTCGCGTTATCAAGAAAAAAAGGCAAGGCGCACATACTGTAAGGCCGTTAGGTTTCATAACAAATAACCGTGTTACATTTTTATTATACAATGCTGCAAATACATATTTTTGCCATCAGGTCCACTGTTTTTCAACCTACCTTGCCTTAGATCCATCGCTGAGGTTGTGATAAAAACAGCTGCACTGAGATGGACATGAGCTCCACACTAGAGGTAGACCCCCTAATACCAAACAGAAAACCCACTTAAAACTGAGAAACATTTTGCCTCCCAGCTATGCTACACTACTGAATTAATAGAAAGGTTGCTGTCTCTTTTAACGGAACATCAACGGCATTGTCTCCCCGCCTTGCTGTCCCATAGTGATCTAGTTGCTCTGAATCCCCAGATAAAAAAGGATAGACAGGGATTAGGGACTCGAGTTCTTTTCATTTAGATGCTGATTGCTTCCTGGAATCCTGTAGGTGGGGATGTCGCTCGTCGTATACGGTGCAAAATAGTCCAGAACGGAACTTTTTTAAACAAGACATCAATTCTGCAGCAAAAATCTGTCGTCATTTTTTTTATTTACGGCGTTACTCGGTGTAGTATAAGGATTTGTATTAGTCTGTATTACTGTACATTTTCATATCCGGTAAGAAAGATACAGTATGTTCTGCTGATTAAAATGAAATCAATATGAATTTTGTAAAAGGCGGCAGGTCTCCATTGCGTTTATTTTATTTACAATCAGTCAAATAAATTCAGTAATTTGCATGTGGTATAGTCTGTTCGTCAGGGATGTAAAGATAAATGCCAGTCGTTTATCGGCAGGCATTTTGCATCTTCTGAGTTATCTTCGCCTACATAAAGTTCTGTCTTTGTGTTTACCTAGAGTTCATAAAGTCATGTTAAGGCTAATGTGGCGTATCCCAAGATCAGTAAAAGACTGACAAAGGATGGATGGAGACTTCACAGTCAAACTCTCGTTTTAGTTCTTGGCTGCTTTTCCTCTTTTCTTTTCCTATTGTTCGCATAATGTCACTGCCAAAACATAACATAGCTATTGCACAAATTTCTCGTAGAACCTGAAATATCATACAACATTACACGACAATTTGCAACAATGGGAGCATTATAATGAGCAACTCTTTCGACCTCTCTAATACAGGGGGGTTCCTATGTCCGAATTCTCTTGATTAGAAGAAAAAGCAGCTCTTGATTAGACAACATTAATTGCTGTTCAAAAATCAATGTTTTCCATCTTACTAACAATGCGCTTTTCTGTTGATCCTGAACAACTCGTATCGGTGAATGTAAGACGGCTCACATAAGATGTCCTAGAAAACTGATAACGCTGACTGTGACAGCATCGTACATTTCATTTTGTCTACAGTATATCTCTTGAAAGCTTAACCAAAGGGTTAAGCAGAACGCGGCTTTAATTTATGTTTGTAGTATCCCAGCTTTGTTTGTTTTTCCCATTAGCTGGGCCAAATGGATTCCTCTTGCTGGTGACGTTTCTCAATAAATGGAATTGTTGCGAAACACAAGCATGTCAGTCAACACATATCTTAAGTGAAAATATGGCCTTGATTATTTCTAGATAATGTTAAACATTTGTTGGGATTTTGTAGAAAACCCGCTTGTTTTTTTCAGGCAGAAGTTAAATTGACGTTGTAAGCACCAACGCAGCGCATACTGTGCGGTACAAGCAAGGGAGTGTGTGACACAGACCTGTATTTTTTTATTCTGTGACGCTTCTTCAAAAATTCTGGACAGTTGAATTTTTCTGCAACTGCACTGTATTAACAAGCTGAAAGATTGTATCACCACAATCTTAAAATCACGCCATACAACGAGCAAGCGGGATTGGGGACAAATTGGGGTATGTGTTTGCTGAATTATAAATTGTATTAATATCAGGAAATTATAAAGTTTAAAACAATTCATGTTACAGGATAAATCTTTACAGTTCAATGAAACGGATCTTTTTCATTCTATAGGGAGATTATCGTGAAAAAAGCGAACATTTAAATAGTTTATTTTAAAGAGAACAGCATGACACAAGCGGAAGGAATTAGTGCTATAAATAGCGTAAATCTGTCGAAGAAGCCAACTTTCCTTATATGTCTACTATTATTTATGCATTTGAGGTTGTTAAAATCTATTCTTCTGACAAATTGTGTTATCTTTTGCAATAGTTTCACTCAGATTTAGATTTAGATTATCACAATTTACTGGTACGATACAAGGATATTCTTTAGATATGATTTGCTTAGTTGCACATATGGTTTGCCACACATTTAAATGCAAATTATTGTGTAAAAACAGGATATGAAGTCCCGATGGTGATAACAGAATTCACCAATGTATTTACTAATGATTGGACACCTTACCCACAGTGTATACCAGTAATCAATTATTTTATATCTCCTGCAATCTGTGGTTTTAAAACTTGCAGTCTGATACTCCAAAATTCTGCAGAAAAATCACCACAGTAGAAATATTTAAATAATGAATACACATAGACATATCTACTGTATGTACCATATGACAAATAAAGGAAGTGTGTGCCCATGAACAGAAATTGATCATTTCTATGTTTGTCCAGATCATTTCATTTGTTTAATAATAACTGGTTATTTGGGGGTTCAGATAACAGTGACTTTTTAGTTTCAGTTTTGTCTATGTGCTTCATAGGTTGATGTATGAGTGTTGTTGGACAAATACACTTGGTTTCAATACAATAAACAGACTTTTTGTTTCTCCATTCTCAAATAGCACTTCTGTGTTTGACCCTGTGTTAACATTACACAAAGGGCTTACTTTTGAAATCTTTTACAAACCCTTAGTTTAATCACTTGGAGTAAAGTACAGAAAACACAACAAAATCCATATAATTACTGTAAAACTATATTGTACTTTGAAAAATCTTAATGTTTATAATACTGAATGGCATAAATCCCATTTATGCAGAAGACTTAATGCATTCTTTCACAATTTTAATGGCCTGCATTACAGATTAGCCTTTGACATACTGTAGAATATTTCCCTGCTCCCTATATTCTGAGACTCAGGAATAATGTAGGCATAATGACATTGACTTACAGTATACTGTATGAACACATTTCACAGCAATATCTACTTACTCACGTGCTTCTTTTAAAAATAAAGAATAAAGTGAAAATCAACATCTGGTTTTGTTAAAAATGGCGTGTACATTTAGTTTAGATTTTGAGTTACACTGAGATAAATGTTAATGCGCCCAGATTATTGTTGCTTATCCCTCACCCCATTTCTCATTCCAAACCTACCTTGGCCCTACGTCTAGGTCCAACCCTAGCCTTAACTCTAATCCTATGACGAACCAGACCCCTTTACCTCCAGTCCTTACCCTCACAGCACTATTCAACATAACACTAGCTACATCTGTAACCTTAGCCTCATACTCTATAAAATTATAACACAATATTATCTGTATTATTATGCTCCTCTTCATTCTTGTTCATGTTTTCTTTATACCGCAAATAAGTGCTTTGGGCAGGTTCAAGATTTAGATGTAGGTTTTGGGTAGCTGCTCACTTCTAGTACTGTTAGCATAACCCTGCCCATTATAAGAGAATGTCAATGCAAACATGAGGTACTCCGAATTATCTCTCTTTAAGTAAGCCCTGTAACAAGGCTAACAAACAACTCAACAGACAAAAGCCGCCATCTGTGCATTTCATTGTTACAATATCTAGGATTATTTTCGAGAGCTCTCTACCATCCTTCAGAAATGACACTGTTTGATTTTATGGTCTGCTACTTTTTTCAATTAAAATTTGCCCTTGAGATTCATCGTAAAACCCAGTATAAAACACCCGTTAAACCCTCTCGCTAGCTTATTTTCCTTTACAGCAAGCCAGCCTGTTTGTAGAAGTGGATAGGCAGTAGAAAGTTATCAACAAGCATATAGGCTGATTAAATGTTTCCTTTTTTTCCCCTTTCATATCATTATCCTTGAACAACCCCAATGACGCTCAAATGCCAGTGAGATTAACAAAGCATTTCCATAATATGAAAAGGGATCAGATAAAGGTAAGAGCCTGCCAGACAATCAGTATATTGGTGAGGGCAACAAAAGACTGGGTAGAAATATGTGAAGCTCATTGTGCAATACAGAAATCTCAAAGCATTTCATACCAGCTGGGAAAACACCAAAGGCAGCTTCCCTTTTGTAACGAGAGGAATACCTATTGTATTTCTCAATCCAACAGCAATCCAGGGCCAAATCTGAGTAAAGGGCATGGCGCTTTCCTTGACAGGAATCTGCAGAGGCATTCTTGATCAAATTAATGGAAACACATACTGTACCCACACACTGCCATATTGTTTCTAGAAGAAAGACTGTTTTTTATCCACTAATTCTTTTATAGGCTGCAATTTCCTTTCCTTTCCTTTCAGTCTGGAATCTTTGCTGAAAGGGTAGATAAAGTCCAAAAGGACAAGATAGAAAGTCTGTTGATAATATGGTGCAGTACAACACAACCAAATGTATTTTAAAGCAGAGTCACACTATCAGTGTAAAAAGTGAGATCGCTGAGCAGACACCTAGATGTTCTCCCAGAGATTTCCTGGAAACAAAATCAACACAGATGATTCTAGGAGCAAAGCTGTTAAAATAAAATTAATTATGAAAGACCAAGGGAAGACCAAGAAAAATATATTTGTCTGGACTCTCTGACCTTTCTTACAACTACACTGCCAGGCATTGATACATCTCTGTACCCTTTGTCTCGGGTATCTCAATGACTAAAATGGACTGTTTTGTATATTGTATGTAAGAAGATGTTTTGCTCTGCAAAAAAATGTTGGTAATCATATTTTTTTCAGATTTCAAGAAGTGTTTTTCTCAATTAAAGGCATAAAGCCATTTTGAGACAAAAATATTTGCACATTCTCCATAGCACGCAATTTAAATGCTTTACTGAAAATAATTCTCATTTTGTCATATCACAGACACAGAGCTTAAGGGCAAATTAGGATCATGATGGTTTTAGCAGTTTGAAAGTCATGCTTTTAGGCTGCCAGAGATATATTTTTTTAGGTCACATGTTAATGCATCTGATGATTTTGGAATCTTTTTCTGTATTTACATGATATGTTTAATTTATTTAAAGGAACTACATATATTTATTCAATTAGAATCGGAAGAATAAGTGTTTCAATGGGTCAACTCCCAAATAGTTTGCTAAATTTAAAAACCTAACAATGGTGTAAATCATCAAAACATTCAGTCAGACTTCTGTATGTATATTGATTAGCAAATTATTTTCAAGACACCTTTTATTATACACAGACAGGTACTGTAGACTGCACAAACGCATTTTGTCACATGACTGTGTGCGGTGTGAACACACTTCAGTGGCATTTCCTAAAGTTCACAATCTTATAATCTTGTAATGCAACAGTAGAATACCCTACACAATGCACCCTTTGTTTTCTGACTAAATCTATGGTTTGAAAAGCTGCCAATTAGAGATGTCGCAATTTTAGCATGTGGCCCTTCATGCTGCATGGCTATAACTAATTCAAATTCCTGTAGCTTTTGTATCTTCTGCTCTTTTGATAATCAGAGATGATCTTTATTCTCTGACTACCATTGCGGGTGAGCCTTTCTGTGGTGATGGATTTCTTTATATGAAACCCTCTTTTTTTAAATTGCCCACAGTACAAGTTGTTATTTAATAAAACATTATTTAAAAGTAAAAATATATAAAACAATATTTAGTGGCTCAGTTTCATTTTCTGAAGTACATTGTGGTAATTAGTTTCCATTTGTATGTGCATTTTGTTGGCTTCATTTTTAGGTTTCATTGAATTCCTTGCACTTACTAATGGGCATTTGATATTTAAATATTAAACAAATTATTTGATACTGTTTTCAATAAAGCATTTTTATTAGTTTTGGGTTGTACTGTAGGTTACAACACATTCATTATCAGTTTTTGTCTGACTTTCTCTTTTTTTGTTTTTGACTGTTTTTAGAATTTAGAGATAACTCATTCACAGTGGTTCTTTTGTTAGCTTGGTAGAATCACAAGAATCTTTTGAAAAGCCATTTAATTGCTTAAAGCATTATAAAAGCAGTCGTTTGAAGGGGATGAGCTGAGGACAGAACAAAGTATTAGAATTGAGATTGTAAATATTACTTATTAAAGATGAACCTTTTAAAAGTATTTAAAAGGTTGATTTACACTTTTGTTAGTTGATTGAAAGTGAACCAAACATTTTTGTTAAAATACATTTTGATTGTCAAAAGTAACTTTTTGAAGCAATAAAAAATAAAGGCATAGAATGTTTGACCCTATCAACAGACACTTAATGCCTCTTGTCTTGTCTAAATGTCCATGGTGTTCTCAATGTTGGTCAGTGAATAGCTACATACAGTATGACTGACCAGAAATATTTTTCACCAGGTACTTCGAAGTGATTAGTGATGCATTTGACATTACATTACTGTTGATTATGTGGCAATGTCTTCCACTTCACAACATCCAAATCCAAAGCAGAGAGTGAGAGATCAGATTCCTGGTACCTTCTTTACCCAAAGGGATGTGTGAGTAAGCTGTTTTGTTGAACACAATACCTTGTCTGAGAATCACAAATTGGCTGGATGACTAGATTAGATTAGATTAGATCAGATGGGGCCTCCTCTAGTTCATAACTTTTCTTATGTTCTTGTTCTTGTGTTCTTCCTCATGATAAACCTCTCACCTATGTGAGCTAAGAAATGTCCTGCCTTTTATAATGAGGATTACGAATGAGAAGTGGCCATCTGTTTTGTTCAAGGGACACAGAGTTTCAGCTTCAACACTGTGACTAAGTATTTTATTCATACAGTACCTCTTTCTGCAAAGAGGGAACTCCGATTTTCACTAGTGAATGTCCTACGTCACTCTCATGATATATTTCACCCAGGCCTTTTCAAGTAACATAACTGTTATCCAATTTGTAAGAACCTAAAGTATGACTTATGAGACAAGTCATTTGAATGCATTGTTGTGTCACATGGATTGTTTGGAATCGCATAACTAAATGTTTTGCAAATGAAGTGTAGCATGCACTTCAACATTATACAAGAGAGGAACTGGTGAAAATGTTTATAGTACATAGACCTATTTGCATTAGTAAGCCTTTAGAGCAGAGATGATTTCTTCCAGAAGTTGGATACCTGTAGTATATACTGTGCATTAGTATTGTTATTATTGCTATGTAACCTTATATTGTAACTTTAATTTTGTGATTTTTACCCCCTGTGAGCTCGCAGAAAAGACGTTTCATTGCCAGCAACTACAGCTGCACTCTGTATTGCTGTGCATTTGATAAATAAACTTTGATTGATATTATTATTATTACATTCCAGAGATTGCTCTGATAGCTTTCATCTTAGGTATCTTTAAATTTGTAAGCAGAAAACAGTATTTCAGTTGCATACTATATGAACTCTGTCTTGTGTATTCCTAAAGCAGAAGAGGGTCTTTTCGTTTGCACACAAAGGGATAATGGTCAGAAGGCGCAGATGTCTTAACCAGAGAAACATAACTGCACAGTGACGTTTACGAAACAAGCGGTTTTTACAAACGTGCACCGCAGCAGAGCGGCAAGCCTGTCCACGGAGTATACACTAGGTCATTTTTATCAGTGTGTAATAGCATCTAGACACAGAAGCGTTGTTGTGCTGCTAATTGAATGCTTTACGATGGAGTTGTGTAAATACGATTTATTGGAACGGGGGTTCTCGGTGTTGTTCTGTTCATTAACATTCTTTTTGGGATTGAAGCGGGGGAAAGAAAAGGCTTTACATAATAACTTGCATGTTTTTTCACGTGAAAGGGCCCTTTAAAAGGAGGCTCCTTGGGAAGCCGTTGGGATACAGAAGGAGCAAGAAGATTGAGTTGTTAGTGGTCTGGATTTTTTTCATGGTATTGTAAAAAAAAAAGAACCGTTTTTGAAAATGGTGACTTCGTACACCTTACCTGAAGGATTCACTGATTTGGATGTGTTTGGATTAGGCACTGCTCTTCTTGTGGAGGGTAAGTGTCTTTATCAGGGGACAGATGAATTTTTTAGGCAGTGCGTTGCGTACTGAATTAACAGATGCTCAGCTGGTCGGCACATAGCCCAGAGATTAAACACCCAGAAAGGAGCAGTGATAAAGACGGGGCAACGACCTTTCGTAGTGATGATTCTTCGAGGATTACTCCAGTTTCTATTTGTCTGTCCAATGATAATATTGCATAATCATTTAAATACGTGTTAAATAAGTGTTTTTTTCTAACGGTTTTATTTCGTAATGCCTCATTTATGTAATCATAAAATATAACCCCAATGGTTATTGTATTTGTTTTATTTAATTCACCGATTTAAATTAAATTCGATGTAAATTATATTTATTTTAGGACCACTGTGTACAGAATTTAATTCCACCCCCAAAATTTTAATACCTGATATGTGCAGGCTAATTTAGGTTTTTTTTTCTTTCAAGGTCTGCTTGGATTCTGTCTCAACGGGCTCACAATTCTTTCTTTCTGTAAAATACATGAATTGAGGACTCCAAGTAACTTCCTAGTTTTTAGCCTTGCTATTGCCGATATTGGAATATGCATGAACGCCACCATTGCTGCGTTCTCCAGTTTTCTGAGGTAATATTGATTTTTTTTTTCAATTTGAGTTCAACCGGGATATTTCCATTGAAAGAAAAAGGAATAATCCGTGACATAAGAAGTAGGCGATTGCACAGCACTTGTCACTGTAATTACAGTGATCCCTTATAATCTGAATGCTTTGTTAAAAAGTCCCCGACAGCACCGCTCAACTAAGTAAAAACATATAAGAAGTTTTGAGAAATTAAGGAATTAACGATGGTTTAATTTGTGTGTGTATTCTGCATGATTTATTCTGTGTCCCGAAAACGTTTTGGGTAAACATTTATTAGCGTGAGCTGTATGTTCAATTCCGTTGGTCACATACAGTAAAGAAGCGAAGGGGTTTACATTTTATTTTCATATACAGTATATACATATTCACACTGCATCTAAAACAGAAAGAAATAAAACGTATTTGATAAGTTTGATAATTATTTGATGGGGTTGTTTTATTTAAGGTGTTTAGAGGAACGCTGTATTCGTGAAGTTAGTATCACGCTTTAATGTCTGCTTTCCGTGATACCGCGATCCGTTTGCCACTGCTCTGTAGATACTGGCCTTATGGTTCTGAAGGGTGCCAGACTCATGGGTTTCAAGGATTTGTGACTGCACTCGCAAGCATCACCTTCATGGCAGCCATTGCCTGGGACAGATACCACCAGTACTGCACTCGTAAGTAAGATTATGTTCTAACTACAAATACTGAAGTCACATCAAGATGCCGTGAATGCACAAATCCGGAGGGGCTTTCCTTGACACAACAACATTTCTTTCTGGGGTACTTGAATCAAAAGAAGCAATGTGGGTCAATGTTTTGATCACTGGCTCCTGGTGAATGGCTGTCACTACGGGTTGTGCAAAAGCCTTTGCAAGTATTTTTACAGGTTCCCAGCCACCAGTGACAGACCCCGTGCAGTCTTTCATGGTGTTCCAGTGCTGTGGAATACAGGCTTAGGAACTTTATTTTTTAAAGGAAATATTTTCCTTTTGGTTCCCAAACATACCTGTTTATAAACAGAATCTTAAATAATATTTTATTTATTGTACAAGATATACTGTCTAACAGATATCTACCGTAAGTACCATGGGTTACATTTTTTTCTGCATGTCAGGTTTTCAGTGGTGATTAACATTTTCAGGTTAGTGTAACTGTTGCTTGGGGCATACTCTGAGACTGACCTTTTGCAGATTCATGTGCTTTACTATGAAACATTGAAATGATTGCAAAGAGTGATTCTCAAATTCAACTCAACTGTTATAAGAATAAATCTTAAATAATAAACATCTGACATTACCCAGTAATTTGAAGACAATATGTGGTGTGATTTAAAAAAAAAATGTCTGAAGTAGTACCACAAAATTACTTTCTTTTAATGAAATTTTAAAGGAGTTTTAAACAGAGGTTCAGGAGGGATGTCAGCAACCAAGGTCTCCCTCACCTCTGCTATGCTAACTCGTAATTCTCCATGATGTCACTTCCTGAAAAACTATAAATATCATAGTAAGCCTCTCTCTCTTGCTCACACTCCTCCACCCCATTTCCACCTCTGCAGCTGCCCATGGGTTCACTCCTCTCCTTGTATGAGGGTCCTAACTATCTCATCCTGTGGCCAGGTTATTGGTCCTCAGCCAGGCAGTTTAAGGCAAAGTGTCTCTTGCCAGACATCTCAATATTCCTAAATGCACTATCTTAATGGGTAATGTTTCTATAAATACAGTAAACATACATTGTCACTGAAACTCATTTTATATCTGCTAGATGATTTTCCCCTTTCTCTTGTTTTGCAGGAACAAAATTACAGTGGAGCACTTCGATTACAATGGTTACCTTCCTGTGGTTGTTTGCTATCTTCTGGTCTGCCATGCCTCTGCTGGGGTGGGGCGAGTATGACTACGAACCTCTGAGAACATGCTGCACTTTGGACTACACCAAGGGAGACAGGTAACTGCCCTGGTGCCCCAGACACATGGTCACCAGCGATGAGGAAGCCTGTCTGAATTGTGCTCTGCTGCTGGGTTCAGAGAACCTATGTAACTGCGTATACCATACAGTGACGTGCACTAACTGTAGTAAGTTTGAACCAATTTACTTCTCCGATATGTCAATTTTGTTTGATAACCTTAATTTTCTGGGACTTCCTTAGTGTGCACTTGTGAGGTGATTGGACAGAAGGGTAAGTAGAGGGCTGGTCTCAAGTAAGCTGCCAGCATTGATGAAAATAATTTAAACAACTTAAGAAATCTTCAAAATGGTTGAAGGAAGACCAGCCATTATAAGAGAATATAATTGAAAACATTTTAATTTAGGCTTTGCCACATAAACTTATCTTGTTAAGATAAGTTTAGAACTAGCAGTTAAGCTAACGCAGCCATGATTAAGGATGTTAATTTTGTTTTTAGACAGAAAATATACACAGTATATATTTTTGATGATGTTACCAAAAAGATGGTTTTCTCATAAAGTGCATAATTGATGTGAAAATAAAGATTAAATGCTTGGATTTTAAAACCGCAAATAGAAATGTTTTCTCCAGTTTAAAGTTTTCAACTTTAAAAGAATAAATATCGTAGTTGTGTCTGGTATTTAAAACCTCTTTTTAAATCAGCTAAAGAAGAGTGCAGATGCTGTACAAAGACAGATACTGGGATACTGAAAAGACATCTGAAGTGAAATACAGAAACTGTGATCAAAATGCATTTGGTGTTTTGGTAGCAGTTTCTTCAGGGTGAGCAGAGAGATTAATGCAACTCTCTGTCTTCTCTTTTTCACAAGAAACTTTGTCTCATACTTGCTGCCGATGGCGTTTTTCAACTTTGTAATCCCTTTTACCATCATGCTGACCTCTTATCAATCAGTGGAGAAGAAGTTCAAGAAAACTGGACAGAATAAGGTGAAAACCAGCTCGGCCATTTTTGTGATGGTTATACGTCAGAGTGAAGGTTAATGGGAATGTTTTTCCCTACCCCACTACTGCATAACCTGATTATTGATGGTTTGTTGACTTACATGAGAAAACAAAGTGGTATCTCTGCTGTGTGTTAATAAACACTGAGTTTTTCATTGAGGTGGAACCATTATATAACATACAGCATCACAAACATACAGGCATGAATTCTTTCCTTCTTTCCTATCTTCAACTCCCAAACTAAAGACAGCAGTAGATTCAAAAGGAATTGACAATGTAAGGGTTTATTTGATCCCTCCAGGAGCCATAGGCTTTCAAACAAAAAGTATTTTCACGTACAAAGAAACACTTGAACTATCATACTCATAAACATATGCATGTCCTACTGTTCTGTAAGCTGTCATATTGATTTGAATTCTGGTATTCATTTGTGAACTTATTTACACATTTAAATTCTGTTTCAACTTGAATATCTCATGTAATATCAAAAACTATGTCCTGCTGATATTTAATTGATTTTAAACTTTACACTCACTTTAGAAACAAACAACATATTTTTCATCTTAGTTTAACACCTGAAATTGCACTTTGTGTTGATATGCTTACCCTTCATATGAGCTCTACATCTTAGGTATTATATAGTACATTACTTTAAATGGGACAATGAGCAAGACAGAGCAGTGTTGGAGAAGGTAGTATTACTCAGCTTGACTCTCCCTTCACTGTAATATATGAAACAAGCATATCCTTGAAGGCTTTTGTTTTTTATTTAGTTCAATACTGGCCTGCCTGTGAAGACACTTCTGATTTGCTGGGGACCCTATTCACTTCTATGTCTGTATGCTGCTGTTGAAAATGCCACAGTCCTCTCTCCTAAATTAAGAATGGTAAGAACTTTAGTTTAAGAAGACATATGTAATTCAGGCAGATTCCCACCGATACATTTACATTCGTAGTATGTCCTAGAGAAAATCAGTCCTAATTTTGTCATAACTAAACACATCACATATCAACTGCTGACACTGCTGAAAGCATCCATTGGCAAGTTACAAACTTGCTATGTTTTTGTGTTTGTCTTAGATCCCTGCTATTTTGGCTAAGACCTCACCAGCAATCAATGCATTCCTTTATGGTCTTGGAAATGAAAACTACAGAGGAGGCATCTGGCAGTTCCTCACTGGACAGAAGATTGAAGTGACTCAGACTGACAATAAGTCCAAATAAAAAGAGCTTTTACTGTCTATATTTTACATGCTGGCAGTTCCTAACAAGGCATAAATGTAAAGTCAGATAAACCCCATCTCATTTTTAATTGGTCTTCTCAGTTGGTTCCACATTGGAAAAATGTGCTGCATGTAAACTGAAATGAAAGTGGAGGAGACTCATTTCTGCTGTAGTTGGGGTTGTCATTGCCAATAACAGGTGTTCTGGGAGGCATTTTGGCATGACTGTCTGTAGATGTCAAAACCAGTGCTAACTGTGAAATGGACTTGATAAGCATAGTACATGTGACAGCCATTCTTGTTCATGAGACCTTGACATTGAAACAAAGTAACCAAGAATGTTCATGTTTTAGCAGTGGATTTCTATATGTATCAAATAAAATGGGTGTAAACAATCATGGTATTAGTTTTTTCACTTAATTAAAAATGTGTTTTTTAAGTATTAGTTCCTGTAATATATTAAAAAGCAATGGCTTGTCATTCTCTAGTTCAGACAGCTTGAGAGCTTTGGACCCTTTGCAGCTAACAACAGCATATGCTGTAAATAAATGGATCTCTCACATCTCCTAACATTGATTTTTCATATTAGAAATTAGAAACAGAAATATGGTAAATTGCCTTATTTGTAAATTAACCCATTGTGTACTGGTGGTGAAGAAAAACAGCAGGCAATCACTGATGTCAAAATATTTGTAGATATATTTTCAAGGAAGGGTACACAAAATCACATAATGCTCTTAAAAATGATTAAATTGTTGTCATTCAGAGGTTTGAAAAAAATACATATTTTTTAAAGTTGAATATACAGTCAGCGCAACTGTAAAAGTCAGTTGAATTGCAAATACATGTCAAATGGGAATTATTTATTTTATCTGGGATACAAAAAATAAGATCAATAATATGTTTTTTTAACATTTCATTTTTGCTTAATTAGTGTATGAAAGTTCAAACCTTTTACTGGTGGAGAATATGGTATGCATAATTTTTTATCCTCCCCATACAAAGCTGTTCAGTATGAAGCCAAATACTGAACACTTTCTTCAGGTCCTGAAGATTACCAACCTAAATAAGATTAGAAGTCAGGCGTGACGTATAATTGGATATATTGTCTGCTGGCCATGCCTGGGTCAAACTGACCATGTCTCCACCAGGTGTTTTCTATAGTTAAATACCGTTTTAGTTATAGCTGTTTTTTAATACCTGATAAATATTTTTAGATCATTCTGGATGTTACTTTTGTCAGGGAAGCTTCCTGTGAAAATTTAGAAATAATTTGAGCATGGTGTGTGGTATGTCTGTATTTCTGAATTCTAACTATAAAACCCAAGGTTTTATAGTTCCAGTAGTTCAGACAAACCCAAAGGGTATTCTGGAGCTGGACTGAAACTCTTTGAAATAGTTGTGACTAATGAAATGAATAGAAAAGAAAAATAATTGAGCAAAGTAGCTGCCTGAACTGGTGTACTGATGTATTTTAAAAATGAATTAACTGGAAACACCTCTGAAAAAATATGTGTCTGTTTTAATTTTTGAACTGAAATTAAACCAGTCTCAAATTAAACAATTTACTCCAGTCTTCAGGAGTAATACGGCCTCAAAAAGTAGCTTGATACTCTGAACGTTTTCTGACACCAGACCGCCTTGACAGAATTGTGTAATTCTCCCTCATTACAAAATCAAGAGTAACAGCAGAGCCCAGCCACTCTACAGATCATGTGCTCCACTGGTGTTGCCTAGCAGATTAATTGGAGACTTGCCTCTCTTTAGAGGGGTTTGCTGTTATGCAACCTTGATTAAATCCAAAGTATCAGGATCCATACTAAAGCACGTTCTAAACCTTAGATGAGATGACGCAAGTGTAATACTCCAATTACTTTCTCAAAAGCAAATTAAAATACCCTGTTTTGGCTGAGTGAAATGATCTGAATGGGCTAGTGCTATAGGTTTCCCAAAAGTAGCTAAGAATAAATTACATAAATGACTGGCTACTGAAGAGCCTTTCTAAAGGCAATCATTTAGAGTTGCAGGAGCTCTCAGTGGCACATTAATTGTTTATAATCAATAGAAGAGGAAAGAGAAACTCTCATATTAAAAGCAAACACATGATCATGTATAACAGAGAATATTTAAAGTTGTTCCAACATACCTGTAAACACAGTCTAAAAATCAATTCAGGTTCTTTAATTGTTTGTTGCTGAATTCATTCATTCTGAATCATTAATAAATTATATAAAGTACAGTTTCCACTTTTGGACATCTAAGAACTTTAGAAAATTACAAATATTAACCAGTTTTATTCCTAAATCTTTATTGTCCATAAACAAATCATACTGTAAGTAATACGGTACTGTTGAGGCTGTGTTGAGGACAAGATGACACACAGCATGTGATGCTCAATAGACACTAATATTGATACATTAACAGGGTTCATTGGCCTTTTCTTGTTTGTAACCTTTCTTACGTTCTTTCTCTTTCCATTACAAAAGCACTCTTAATTAAACCGATTATTGGCTTAATTAGTCAAGTTCAACGTGATGTTTGGGCTCTGATTGAAGATAACCATAAAATCTTGATGTCCTCTATACAATGCAGTTAGAGAATACTAATATTGCATGTTCAAATCAAAAATATTTTTATGGCCATAGAGTGCAATTTAAATATGATGTTTTTTTTCCAGAAAAAGGACCAGAAAATGTTTTTTACTGTTGTTCTTAAGATCTCCAAATGCATCTCCTGAAATTTATGTTTGAAATAGGCTTCTGAAAACTGAATAATTATCATTACACTTTTGTTAACATATTAGATATTGTAATGGGTGATTGATTTATCACTATACAATGAGTAAAACACATGTGATGTTTTATTCTCCTGACTGTGAATTTAATCATCTTTTTAGTAAATCCAATTAAGGGCCAGACACCTTCTGCATGAGGAAGCTGTGAGTGTTAATGAGTGTTCTGTTTTTAGTGTGGATACCACTAAAGCCCAAACATAACACATATCTTACGTTCTTCTAAGAGGACTGGAGATTGTGTTGTTAGTATTTGAAACAATGGTCAGAACAGCTGAGTTAATGACCAACAATGCAGCACTGTTGCTCCCTAGATCAGGGGTACAGTGAGCGTTGCTGTGTGTATGGAAAGCAGTGTTAGTCTTCATAAGTTCTGCTGCTTTGGTCACATCATGTCAGTCATGTGTGGTGTCAAATTTCATTGAAACACCTTTATGTATCTTCAAATATTCATATATTATGCTTCCTTACAATTTAAAATGATTGCTACTTATATGATTATTGTGTTGCCCTGCGTCCAGGATGTATTCCTGAGCCCATTGCTAGCTGGGATAGGCCTCTTTTCACCAGAGACTCTGTATTGGACAAAGCAGTTAGAAAATGGGTAGGTGGATGTATTATTATTGTGGTATGTATTGAACCTTTATCTGAGCTTTTATTTCATGAGAAATATAATTGCTTTTTAGTCATATTCATTTTTTTCTCCCAGGTTACATTGTTATGGTTAGGGATAGTATTAGACTTTCTCATTTATTTATATCATTTATATTATAATCAAATCTTCTGTGTTGTGATATTTTAATTTCCTACTAAACTAAAGAATTATCATTATTTATTCATTTTCAGGTGTAATTCATGAATAATAATATGGTCAAGCATTGTTTTTTCAAGAAACATAAGGTAATAATACATTTCCAAACTGTTGTTTTTAAGTCTATTAACATGGCAACCAAAATAATCTTTTAGTTATAGCATTTTTAAAAATTGTATCCTGAAAGAAATAGAAATGTTTAACAATGAAGGTCTGTTGAGAAGTAATGTTCAGAGCACATATGATATGAAAGACTTTTGTTCATACTTCTGTTCCAGTCGTTCAGACAAACCCTCATTGAGGTTGGACTACAGCCATGATTTGAACGGCAAGCTTTAGAATAACTCATCCTTTCAGAGCACCCTTTACAACAAGGAATGAGCCAGGAATCTGCTGAAAGAACGAAGATGGGGTAGTATAGGAATGCGACAACAAACTGCACAGGCAAATCGGCAAGATGAGTGATGTTTGTGCAGTACATAGGTGAACAGACGGGCACGATTAGTGTTTGACCTCCTCTCAAACTTTGTTTAAAATTCCATTTTGGAAATTACTAGAGCGTTGTACAATTTTAACATATCATCCCTTGAGTCTATGCCTTTAACTATATTTAGTATGTTTCACATATCATCAACAGTAGCAGCAGCAGTTCCGGATTAGACACCACTTTTCTTCATTTACTGTAGCAAATATCCAAAAGGACGTCACAGTGTTGCAGCAGCAAACACTTTCATCAGCTTTTGACATTGAAATACAAGGGCTAGTTCCTCTGTGCAAGGATGTCACATCTCTAGAACCATGAGGAGAGATCGTAAGGGGTTTGTGGGATGAAGCAGAAAAGCCCTAGTGATAGAAATGACAGAATGATAACCAGATGGGTCATAATCCAGATAAACTGTTAACAGATTTCACAAATCTGAAATTAAATTTCTGCCACCTGCATATAAGAAAAGCAATTTAGGTTCTATGCTTTGCATAATTATATATTATGTAATATAAACATGAATAATATTGGACCATAATATACTTTACTAGAGATTGCAGTGCCATTAAAAAACAAAGTTAAGAATATGTTTAAAATCAGATTATAACTGATGCTGCATCAAATTAATGTTTTAATGTATAATGTATAAATGAGGTTTCTGAAAACAGTGTGTGAGTGTCTATCATGAGAGTTTGCCTCCGTTAGACAATGCCTGATAGCATTCTGATTCATAGAATTATTAAAATAATCTAAGATGACTTGATAAAAACAGTCAGCCAGTTACCAGCCCAATGTTGAGAGCACTGGATTGTGAAAACTTTTAAGTATTTTATGTTTTTTCTGTAGCTTTTGGTCTTCTACACAAAGGTTGACTAAGATTGAATGCAATATGATTTAGAAGTTTGTTTTTAACATTTTTGTGAAAGGCTTCATGGACTAAACCTTCCTAAAGAACTCCCAAAACATAATCCATGAAATGGCTGAATAATGCCCTGTCTGACCTACTACTAGGAGAGAGCTAGTCAATCTTTACACTTCCATTCCCTGTCACTGCAGAACTTTGAACCTTTCAATAAAGTAATGAATACATTCTTGATTGCTTAATTGATTAGTAAATAACTTAATGATTAAGCTTTAGCTGGAGCAAAGACTTCCAAAGGAATGAAAGAGCCAAGGTTAAACTTCCCTCTGCTACATAGACATCCATTCTTCTTGTAACAGAAAGCCAAGCCCTACCAGTAAGTGTTACAGTATATCAATTATTTATCCTGGATGGACGCCAGCCGATCACAGGATGTGTGGGCACAAA